CTGGAAGACCTCTTATGTATCACCAGTGCCCAAGTCAACCAGCCCACAATCCTTAAATCAGCTACGACCTATTGCAATCACCCCAATACCCACTACCCAGCCTAATCTGTGAAAGTTTTGTGTTCGACTGGGCTTATGCTGATATTGCAGGAGTCGTAGACCCTCAGCAATTTGGCAACATGAAAACTTCCTCCACCACTCACTGTCTTGTCAGCTTTCTCGATTACATATACCGCCATCTCGAGAAACGAAAAACGTCTGTAGCTGTCGCCTTCATTGATTTCACTAAAGCATTCGACCTAGTCGACCACAATATAATCATCAACAAAGCTATTGACCTCGGGCTTCGGAGAAGTCTTATACCATGGCTTACAGACTTCCTCAGTGACCGACGCCAAGCTGTACGCTTCCGAGGGGCTGTCTCCACCTTTCAGTCACTCACCTGTGGCGTCCCTCCAAGGCACCAAGATGGGACCACTCTGCTTCCTTATGCTCATCAATGATGCCCTAAGAGAAACCCCTGCTCGCTGGAAATATGTCGACGACTCCACCATTGGGATCAGCGTCAACAATTCTGCTCCCAACTATACCGCCCTTCAGGATTTATTGAACAGTCTCCAAAACTGGGCCACCAACAACCATGTCACCATCAACCATACCAAGACCATGGTTATGCACATCAACCTCTCCTCCGACATTGTCCCACCTCCTTCCATTACTTTAGGTCCGAACACACTCCAGGTTGTAGATTCCACGAAGCTCCTCGGCGTCACCATAGACAACAAACTAAATTGGAAACCACACGTCAGTGAAGTTGTCAAATCCTCCAGTTTCCGTCTCCACCTCCTCCGCCGACTCAAGTCCCTCGGAGTTCCTGCACCCGAGCTCCTCAGTGTTTACACAACATTCATACTTCCCAAGCTCACCTATGCCTCCCCCACCTGGTCTTCCTCCCTAAATGCCACACAACATAAACACCTAGAAAAAGTGCAAAAGAGGGCATGCAAGATTATTCTCTCCCCTTCCTACTCCACATATCAAGAAGCGCTCAACACACTGACCCTTTCGACTCTCACTGACCATCACCACGACCTCATCTGCAAATTTGGTAAGAAGCTTCTACACCAACCTCGACACCGGCTCCTACTACCACCTGAGATCCCCAGCCCGAGAATTGCTGTTCGACACCACAACCGCATCCAGCCCATACGTGCACGAACTGACCGCTATAAGAACAGCCCAGTCCCAACCATTGTAAAAATTATCAATAACTTGTAATAAACCAGTGTATTCACTCCCAGTAAATACTACTTCTTGCACTGTCACTATGTTGAAATGCCCTGTAGTTTGAGCTTTTCCCCTTCTAGTTATTATGTATCTTATTTGTATCACTTATGTTACTTGTATATTATTTGTAATTCGAAACCCATTCCCCAAATATGTAACTGTATATTTTCAGCCTTCTGGCTGCCAAGCTCTTTCAATAAACCGTTAATTATTATTATTATTATTATTATTAAGCTGAAGCATTTGCTAAGGACACTGTATTTTGCAGGGTGTGGTTAGAAATGCCATTGTTTACACGGCGCTCGCCTCCTACTGTCTGGTAGACGAAGCTGGTGCCTCCTCCCGGGTGGAGGGTGCGCTACAGCCCCTGGCTCGGGGTCGGCATACTTGCTTCCACTACCCTCCCCCTGAATATAACTCATGTACACCCGTCCCCGTTCCTCCTTCATCTTCTGCTTCAAGCCCTGCAGGAGCTTCTTGTGCTATTCCTTCTGCATTACCGTGCGATGTGGGTGAATGAATACATTCCGAAATGCCTCGCTCCTTACTAAGTTTTTTGCCAGCCGAATAACTTCCATTTCTTCTCCTCACTCACTAGTGTAATCCTGAGGGGGCGAGGCTTGTCCCCCTGCTTTTGCCCCAGCCTCCTCACATCCTGAAGGGGGGATGGCATATTCAGAACCTCTGTACAAATATTCTTAAACTACATCTTATCGTGTGTTATCCTACTCTCAGTTCCCTCCGCCTGGCTCTCAGGGACTCCAAAACTATTAAATTGTTCCTGTGCTGGAAACGTTCCCGTTGTTCCTCCTCCGCTAGTTGCCATCTCTTCGACACACTTCTTCAGAGTCCCTAGCTGCTGTAGAACCTGTTCTGATTCTGCATTACTCTCCGCCACCTCCCGTGGCCCTGTTAAGGCCTGAGCATAACTCTCTTTGCTACCACCTCCATTCGATCAGCTATTTCCTCGGTCTTATCAAGGATCTCTTTCCAAACTTGTTCAAGTTTGACAACCAGCAAGGATCCTGCTTCATCTATTTTCGTCCCTATGGAACTCGTTCCCCTATGGCTTGCAATCGCCTCTTTCACCTTGACTATACAGTCAGGACAATACCAGCAACAGCAGTAATCACATGTTTCCTGGTGCCGCTTCAGCCCCAGGTTTTATACCCCTCATAGTTGTTGTTTTGGGGGTAGAGGGGGGGGGGGGCGTGCAGACTGTGTACAGATCTACTGTAAACCTATTTAAAAAAAATAAAAAGAACAGTACTGAGCTGCGTTCTGCTGGTTTTAACCTCCCCTCATTCACCCAGTGTTGCAGTCCAAGACAGTTTGAGTTATTTTCTGATTTCCTTTTTTTTCCAGTTCTCCCTGACGAGTTGTTGGTATCTATGTGCTATCCCTACGCACACTGTATCTTGCTATGAATGACGGATCATTTGCCCACTCAGTCCTTTAGAAATACTTCTAATTGACGGTCTAATAATAATAATAATATTGATCCTCATTATTACTGTGATAATTGCTTTTAATCTGTGTCCTGGTAGCAGGGACGCCAAGGTCCCTTTAAAAGCCTCGTTCCACTGTCTGGGTATAGGCCGTTATGGCTATTGTCATCCACCGGGCAAGCACAATTTATTTCGTCTGAGCAAGAGATATACCTCTCAGTGGGATGACTTCCTTAATAATCACATCTACTAATTGAAGTCTAAGTAAAGTGAGATATGGAGGTGATCGTGCCCTTATGGCAATTCAATGTTATTTAAAAAATAAGAAGAAAAAACAAACAAATAAAAACCTAACTGCCTCCTGTTGGTGTTTTAACCTCCTCGGCACTCTGTGCGTCCAGTGTTGCTTTACAGTTGTCTTCTGTTTTTTCTCTCTTTTTTTCAGTTCACCTCGGCGATTTGCTCTCTCTACACTGCATCTTGCTATGAATGGCGGATTATACGCCCACTCAGTCCTTTAGAAACACACACCAAAAAAATTTCTTTGGGGCGGTAATAGAATGCCTTTCATGATAGCCAAGCTTGTTGATTTTATTTATTTTAACTATTATTTCAATATACTTTCTTTTCCAGTTCTCGTCAACGAATATATCTCTTTGTGCACTGTATCTCCCTATGAATAGTGGATTGTAGGCAGAGTTTCAGTCCTTGAGAGAGCACACAAACAAAATAAAAATATAAGTCTGTGGCACCAATAATACGACTTGGTTTCTGCTGGCAGTGGTGCCATACCAGCTTGCTTGCCAATTTATTCTTCACTTTAAGTTATTTACAACCTCTTCCGCAGTCACTGGTGACACTATGAACTGATTTATCTAAGGGCACAGTACTGCACACCCTGGTTGGCCTTTGGGTGGTCAATCACAGCCGTGACCACAACTCAGTAAAAAAATAAAATAACAGTTTTGTCATATGGCAATGATTTTGTGGTTGTAGGCCTCTTTACCTGGGTTGTACCTCCAAATCGTGGAGATTGAGTTTTCAAATATACAATCGCGTCTAGCATTAAAAATCCTACATCGATTTACACTTTCACGTCACTAAGACGATCTTGGTGATCTTATGTAATCACTATCCAATTTCTGCCGCTCAACAACGAAGGCCCGAGTGCCAAACACGCTTTGTTACAGACGCAACACGACCCGACAAGCCAGCACGCTACGATCATCCATATTGTTTAGGACGTCTTGTATTGCTGCTTTCACACATTTAACTTCTCTACTGGCCTCAACTATGTCCAAGCCTGAGCTTGAAGGCTAGTGGTCACACCTTTCAGGTAGCCTAGTGCATTGTTGATGATCACCAGGGACACAATGAAGTTTGTGCTGGTGATGGCGAGCAGCATGGCCTGGGCATCAGTCAGTGAGTCTGTAGACCAGCTGCCAGGACCACCCTCCACAATGTTCTCCATGCAGGCCACCACCAACGGATGTAACTCCACAAAGGTTTCTATGGCATCTAGGCGTTGCACCCAACGAGTATAGCACACATTTTTCAGCTTGTGTTTCCTTGATTCAGGTTGGGTCTCCAGGACAGCTGCCTCCAAGGCATATGCACGTTTGGGATGTCCTTCCATGAAAGTTGAGATCTTCTCCACGGTGCCCATCATATTCCTGATACTGGTGATCTGGATGGACTTAACAACAGCCAAGTTGAGGGCATGCGATGAGTAGTGCTGTCAAAGGGCCAAGGGGTTGGCCTCCTCTATGATAACTGTCAGCTCCGTCATAGACCTGACCTCTTAGGTTGTTTATATCAAGTCCATACCCTGTGATGGTGGTTGTCACCTTATCTGCTATAATTGTGCCAGTTTCTTGGCATCTGTGCCTAGGTGCATACACAGAACCCTGTCTCCAGCCTCCACATGGAAGTCAGGTAGATAAAGGAGTGACCGTGGGTGGAAATCCCAAAACGTGAAATTGGGGTCAGCTGAGTCAGGTATGGGTGTATATAGGAAGTAGCTGGGTCCAGCATGGGTTTTTCCAAAATGTGGAACGAAGTCAGTTGGGTCAGTTTTACTGTAAATAATAAAGAACATTTCCTAATCTTGGGATTTTGGAGGAGCATGGCCCGGGCGGGGGGGTGGGGGGTGGGGGGTCCGGGCAACCAGTAGACCCCCCTGGGTGTATCCCTTCCAATGGGCGAACGCGTTCACCGCCCAAAATGGCGCTGCCAAGCGGCTGGGGAGTAAACTAAATAATTACCGCAGGCAGATTGCTTTATTAGCATGTTATTGATACATTGTATGTAGGGTAAGGCACCAACTATAGTATGATATTATTACCACATGGATATTACAGGACCATTACCATATAACCAGTTCTAGACTGGTATTTTTATCTCGGAATAAACTATCTAGCCCTGATATAAAGACTATTGCAATTATAGAACAGTATACAAATCTCAATATTTCTTTGTCGCATAGAAATCAATGATACTAATAATTATAATTTATCATTTCATCACTTATCAGCTTACTATCCGTTGACCAGTTAATCTGTTCATTGTTACTTTCTAAATGAACTTATATTGTTCAGTGTTGGTAGAGGAGACAGGATGATTGGTAGTGTCTCACTGGCTCCACCACCAGCACCCTTAATGATTAGTGTTGGAAATCATCTTTCTCAACGGATAACAAGCATTTATAGTTGACCATAAGCTGGTGGGTGTAAGATTGACAACAAAATATTACATTGTTCAAAGAAGATATACAAATGTTATTAACTCAGACTTTTGACTAGATTTCTTAATGTTTATATCGTTTTACTGTAAGTTCCAACGCGATTTTGATTGATTTGTATATGAAACGAATGTGAACCCTGCTGAGCAAAAGCGAATATAAAGTACAGTAGAACATAATTACAAGCACAAGCTGAATTCATCAGTCATTTTACAGATTTGTACAGGATTTCTGAATACAGTATTTCCTTTGAATTATGACTTTAAAATATCATAAGACATGATACACAAAGCACAGGGAGAGAACATCCGAGCAGATTGCAAGCTTATAGGAATATGCCTGAGGATTGCAAGTTTCATGTGAAACACTTCAGACGAGCGAGTTGCATGGTTGCTTGGGCGTCGCCTCTACATTTTAAGACCGTGTCGATCTTTGGGCCACGCCCCAAGTACCTATTCTTTAAGAAGATCAATGAAGATCGGAAAGGTAACCCCCTAGGATGTGGATATAGGACACTGGTATCTACAACGTGATCATGCACTACCTTCAAACGGAGAAGGTCGTGATTCAATCCATGGCCTACTAGGATGGTGTTTTTTCCGACCAGCGTGAGCAGCTGCATGTGTACGTCTCGTAGTCGAGTCGTGACTCCCAGGAACTGTTGTTCAATGAGACCTGAGTGTTGTGTGGTGTAGTCCAGAATAGGAGCGTCGGGCAGCACCAGCGTCTCGTACACCACCTGGCAGTTGGAGTCCACGACGGTGATGGCTGCCACGTCCATCCCACCTGTTGTGAAGACCATCTCGCAGTCTAAGGCGTAGACAGATTCCTTATTGAAATTGCTATTAAGATTTGTTTTAATAAAGCCATCCAATTTCTTAGGATCTATCTCATCAGAGACATGTTGTGGTGCAATGCAACACGGTTCAGATGAGACAGGCCCACGGCAGCAGTAGTAGAAGGGAACCGATTTAGTCGACAACTTGCCCCAGTGGTACCCGCACAACTCAGGTGAGACAGACCGTCCAAAATGGTCAACTCTGTAAGCAGTTTTACAGCGTCGACAAATCCGTCTGTCAGGCCTTGTGATAATACTATACTCGTTCTCAGGATTGGGAAGTCTCGCTTTTCCTATCTGCCAGTGAGAGAGGGGAAACCCAAAGAAACACATATCCTCCTCCGAGAGCTTCAGATGCTGTAGGCGATGGTATAATGCCATCTCGATAAGGTCAGACTTCTGAAAAAAAAATATTATTAATAGGAGAATAATTCAAATTTTCGGAGGTTAAGATATAATTCCTTATTTAACACAAAACTATTATCAGAACTAAATGAGGTGAGTAGATTCCACATTCTAACTTAATTCACCATCAGCTCCTAACGTTCTGTTTCCACTTTTAAACACTGCAGCCACATAACTGAACTCCGCTTCCTCACACACGCCCCTCGCTCTTAATTGTGTGTTGAAACTGTCTGAAACAGATCAACTATACATTTCTGACATAATCCTAGCAGGTGACGGAATTTGCTAATACAGTACAGTAGTTTTAACGAAAAAAATAATAATACAATGGTAGTGAAACGTATTATTCATTATTCATAATGCCGCCTCATGCAGTTGCTATAAAACTTTTTTTCAGTACAGTTAATGTGAATGTGAATGAAAATTATATTCACATTTCATAAGTACAGTTGCCATGGAAGGTTAGAAGTTAGAAAATTTGAGTGCAAAAGTTTTATTATTGAAGGGGGGGGGGGGGCACCATATTATGTTTAGCTCCCGGACTCCAGACACCCTTATTACTACGTTGGGCAGAAGCTCGTTCTTCACGTTATATCAGTCACTTCTACGGTACAGTGAATACAGATATTAACATTTTATGCATTTTTGGAACCAAGTGCAATTCCGGTAACGGATAGTACAATATGAGTGCCAAACATCATAGATTTTTTTTTAATCAAACTTCTCCATATGCACACCTATTACTTTACGGATTTAAATTTGTTTAAATCGTGATCATTGACAGCTATGAAAGCACGCACATCTTAATAGTGTGCACTTGTCGTGCACCCATGTTATCACCACACCCACTTCCCCTCCCTCAAACACAAGACTGCACAGTGTATCGGTAATAAAGGGTAAGGTCACTGCCTAGCTTATACTACAGACGGGCAAGGGGTCACCTACTTGAGGTGTATAAGCATCTCAGGGGGCACTACTCAGTCGAGTGTCCTTACTTGGAACATAAGAACATAAGAAAATAAGGAGTCTGCAATAGGCCGGTTGGCCTGTGCATGGCAGCTCCTGTCGAGAGTTACTACCACTCTCTATCGTCCATGAATCTATCCAGCCTCCTTTTGAAACTTTCCAGCGTTCCAGCACTTACTACAAAGTTGCTAAGCTTGTTCCACTCGTCCACCACCCTATTTGTGAACCAGTTCTTTCCTATCTCCCTCCTAAACCTAAACTTATCCAACTTAAATCCGTTGCTCCGAGTCCTATCCTGCTCGGATATTATAAGAACTTTATTTATATCCCCTTTATTGATTCATTTCACCCACTTAAATACTTCTATCATATCTCCCCGCACTCTTCATCTTTCTAGGGATTGCAAGTTTAGTTTCTTTAACCTATCATGATATGGAAGGTTTCTAAGTCCCGGAATCATTTTCGTCATTCTTCGTTGCACCGACTCCAGTGAATTGATATCCATTCTATAATAAGGGCACCAGAACTGAACCGCATAATCGAGGTGCGGCCTGACTAGCGCAAGATATAGTTGCTATAAGACCTCTGCACTCTTATTACTTACACTTCTAGATATAAAACCCAATACTCTGTTTGCCTTATTTCGAACATGAACGCACTGATTTCTAGGCCGTAGGTCCGGGCTTACAAGTACCCCTAGGTCTCTTTCACAAGTCGACTTCTCTAGGTTGATGTTGTTAAGGCTGTGTACATTGACAGTATTTGTTCTTCCAATATTAAGTACGCTGCACTTGCTGGTGTTGAATTTCATTTGCCATTTTTCAGACCACCCCTGCAGTTTATTTAGATCCTCCTGTAGTGCATTTGCATCCTGCCCTGAATTAATCTGCCGCCTTATTTTGGTGTCATCCACAAACTTACTTATGTCACTGCTGATCCCAGTATCTAGATCGTTATGTAGCTTATGAACAAGAGTGGGCCTAGTACTGACCCCTGGGGAACCCCACTGGTTACACAGCCCCACTCAGATTTAACACCATCTACGCTGACCCTCTGCGTTCTATCGGTGAGCCATGATTTTATCCAATTTAAAACTTCCCCCTCGATACCATGAGCCTTAACTTTTCTCAGAAGCCTCTGATGCGGTACTTTGTCAAATACTTTGCTAAAGTTTAAGTAAATAACATGGTAATTTTCGTCATAATCTACTGCCTCGAAGACTTTCCTAAAAAACGTCAGCAGATTTGTTAGAAAAGATTTTACCTTTGTAAACCCATGTTGAGAGTCGTAGATTAATTTGCTTTTCTCTAAATGCGATCAGATGCTATCCGCTATAATTGATTCAGGAAATTTCCCCACTACTGACGTCAAACTGATCGGCCGGTAATTTGACGCTGATGCTCTGTCTCCCTGTTTGAATCATGGGAACTACATTTGCCTGTTTCCACACGTCTGGCACAACTCCCGTGTCTAATGTTTTTGTAAATAAATTTATGAGGGGTCCGCTAATCTATTCCCTACACTCTTTCAAGGCTCGAGGGAAAATTTCATCCGGCCCTGGGGATTTTGTCTTCTTTAGTTTATTTATCCTCTTAAAAACATCCTCTTTTCTGATAGTGATATTCTTTAATTTCTCTTCTTCCTTTCCCCTAAATATCAGTTCCACCTCTGGAATTTCCTCGCGAATTTCTTCTCTGAAAACTGATAAGTAGCTGTTCAATGCTTCGCTTATTTCTTCACTGCCATTTATCACTTCCCCCCTCCCTGACTTTAAAGGCCCAACTTTGTCCTTGACCTTTGTTCTATATACCTGGAAAAATCCCTTGGGATTTGCCTTGGATTCTCTTGCTATTCTGATTTCATAGTCTCTCTTTGCTTTCCTTATATTTTTCTTAACATCACTAGATAGTTCATTATACCTATTTCGGAGTTGCTCCTCCCCTCCCTTTAATTTCTTATAAATTCCTTTCTTTATTCCTATGTCATGTTTAAGTTTTTTGGTCATCCACCTTGGCTCATTCTTATTTGACCTAATTTTTCTGTATGGTATATTTTGTTCTTGTGCTTTATGTAGTACAGCGCTTCTCAAACTATCTGATGTGGCGGACCGGCATGGTTTTTTTTCAATGTGCCATGGACTGGCGAGCGAAGCGAGCCAATCCCGGGGCCTATCTTTTGAAATATGTCCTATTTCAGGGGCATTTTGAGACTATCTGTACTAAACATGAAGACATGATGTCTTATTCATTCTAAGGCCAATCGTCATTGACGTAACAAGTCTTCCCAGTGTGCCAGGGACCAGTACCATATTTGTGCCATACAATTAATTGTTTACGATCAGAGAAAATATTATTTGAACATTCGTAGTAATATTATTTTATACAGGAAAAATATAATGAATATAAAAGTGGGTTGGGATGGGGTCCCAAATGACAAACACGCAGATACCCGTATGATGCTCTCTGTTCCACTTCTTGATGGTAACTCACCACTGACCTGTGACCTGACATCACAGACTGCTGATCCACACGTGTGGAATAGCAGGGTTGCCAGCTGTGTAACACCCTTCACGGCTGGCACGCATAGTAAAAAATCGGCCATTTCTTTTAATGAGATGCATACATTTATTTTATCCGAAATTAAATAACTACCATACTTAAAATAAAAAGATTTATGTTTTGGGTGGATATGGCGTAACTGGTGGCCAAGAAACGTGGCAATTCTGGCAACACAAGGTGATGTGCCCTTTTGATATCCCCAGGTGTGGTTCCCACAGAGTCAAACGCCACATCATCATGAAGGTGTTGTTATACGTATTTCAGTTCGCTGTTTTGCTGTTCATTATATCGCATTCGTTAGTTGCATAGCAATGACTTTTAACATGAGTAAGTAAATGAAAAATATAGCCATAATAAATATAAAAACTACAATGAAAATGTTAAAAAAAAAAAGACCGAGTCAGATGTCCCGGCAGTGTCACGTGGTGTGGAACGTGACTATCGTTTCTTTCTTTTCTGAAAACTCTCCGCGTACCGGCAGACGATGGCTCACGGACCGGCACCGGTCTTCGGACCACACTTTGAGTAGCACTGATGTAGTAGACTAGTGAATATAATATAGTCATGATCAATTGTTGTGTCATCTATGACCTCACCCCTTCCTACTGGGGACTGGCGTGACTGTTCCCAGGTGACCTCACCTAGGTACCTTCTTAACCCCTGATAATCCCCCAACCGAAAGTTTAGGACTCTGACCATATTGTCAATGTTTTTCGTTTCCCAATTTAGGGTGAACCTGATTTCTCTGTGATCACTGTTACCTAGTTCTTTCCCTACTGTGATATCTCTGATAATATTTTCTTTATTTGTTAATACTAGGTCTAATATATTGTCACCTCTAGTAGGTTCTGTAATTAGTTGTTTAAAAAAATTGTCCTGTACTGCGGCTAGGAAGTCTTCAGATTCATAGTCACCTACAATGTTGTCCCAGTCAATATTTCTGACGCTCGCTCCACAAGGGGTCACAGCTCAAGATTGAAGAAGCCGCAAGTCCAGAAAACTGTGAAGGCTGTAGTGGACGTCTCCCCTACAACTGCTTACAACTGCTTAGCGGCGTCACCAAGCTGCTACCGCCTTCCCTAGCAACCAACCAGATGTTACCGTATCTTAGCAACGGAACTAGTCACCGGCGACTTTCTGGGTTTTCCCAACATGATTCATAGAGGACTGGCGGCTGCTGCTGGGTATATAAGCTCTGTCTCTCCATTGAGATTCATTCTGACCATTCTTCTTGAACAAGCAACACCTCCTCCTCCGCCGCTGCCTGGCTGCCTTCGCTTCTCCTCGCCTGCCTAGCAGTCCTCGCTCCCGCCAGCGAGCATGGCGACCCACCAGCTGTCCTTCTCTGAGCTTCCTCACCAACCAACTCTCATTCTGCCCACCTTCCTGAACAAGCAACACCTCCTCCAGCAAGCTCCACGCTGTCAGCGTTCATTCAACCTGGAGGCCAGCAACAGGCAACATCTTCTCTAACGAAGCTCCTGCACATCTACCTCCTTCAACACGCTACTCACCGAACGTCTCTACTGACCAGCTCCTCACCACACGGCACCTCCAGCACCAGACTGTCTATCATATAACTTATATTATACAAGAAAACCACCTTAGAGTTTCCTTCCATCCTGAGTGCTAGACAACATTAATATCTCAATACCCCTACAAGGCAAACTTTTTCGGAGTGAGGGTTGTAAACTCTTGGAACAATCTACCAGAGAGTGTTGTGACAGCACCGAGTGCGAGCACTTTCAAAACAAGACTTGACCAACACTGGAGCGGGTTCAGGTACATTCAGGAGCCGGTGCATGCCCAGTATTTGCCAACAGTGCGTGGCGGAGACGTGACCGATCGCCCGGGCAGCTAGCGAGCCGATCTTTTGGTGACGAGGATAAAATTAATGAAAAGGAAACGTAATCAGAGACGTGACCGATCGCCCAAGCGGCTAACGAGCCGATGAGTGGCGAAGAGGATAAAAGAAAAAAGTAAAGAGTAAACAAAGAAGCTATATAAGAGTGTCACCCAACAAGTCACCGGTTAAAAACACCTTTATATTCATCGGGGAAAACACTACCACAAAACCTACAGACCAAAACTACCTACAAGATAACTTTCAGCAAAATGCCTCCTACGTGAGGGCAATGAATTTTTAATTGCACCTGTAATATTGGCAGAACTGTTTATGTTGCACTAACCTGCAATATTAGTAACATTGATTGTCGCACTAACCCGTAATATTGGTATCACTGTGTTACACTAACCTGTAATATTGGCAGCACTGTTTGTGTTGCACTAACCTGCAATATTAGTAATATTGTTTGTGTCGCACTAACCTGCAATACTGGTAACACTGTTTGTCGCACTAATGCTTGCATTTATTGTTAATGCTTGCATTTATTGTTAATGCTTGCATAATTGCATTTATTGTTAACTGGCTCATCCCAATATACTGAAATAGATACATTCCATTGAATGTATTCTTTTTCTTATTCTCAACCCGTATAGGGGCCCGCACCAACCTGTAATATTGGTAGCACTGTTTGTGTTACACTAACCTGCAATATTGGTAATACTGTTTGTGTCGCACTAACCTGCAATATTGGTAACACTGTTTGCGTTGCACTAACCTGTAATATTGGTAGCAGTGATGTTTCACTAACTTGGAGTACTGCGTATGTTACATAAGACGGGTTCAGCAGTAGCTCTGGCTGTAACAGTGACTCACTGCACTGGCACTGCTTACACTGGGTGTGGAGCGCACTTTGCACTACTCGTCGACACCGTCAACTCTTGATCAATACCCGCATCTCGTATGATTCGTGTGGTGAAGGCAATGTCAGCTGGATCAGTTGGTTCCGCCTCTTCAACTTGTTCCTGCTATAGTTGTGTGTTGCCTCAGGTTGTAATGGAGACGGTCACTAGGCTACCACACTACAGTATAAACATTAGGCTACACCGCACACTGCGGTCGCCACCAAAAGTATGGCGCCAAACTAAACCATACGGTAACTAATATTTCAAAAAAGCATACCTTCATAATTATGTAGCTTAATTCATGTACACAATGGTGCACCCCAAAAAAATATTGGGAGGTGGGGGGAGGGTGAGAGCAAAGCCTGTCCATCTATTTTTATTTTACTTCAGTACTGATCATAAGAACATTATATAAGAAGGCCGGTGCCGCTGATATTATGTATAGCTCAAAAAGATAGTTGAACAAATGAGGAGGCCACCCCCCTACCGGGTTACACACACACACACACACCTCCCAGTGCGGCCCTATAGGTGCACATGAAACCTCCTGCCACATATTGCACATAAAGTAAACGTATACCACTCCATGTTTTAGTAATATGCCACCATACATATTACGTACGCTAAATAAAGCACTGTATTTAATACTTGCTAAGAAAACACTCATTGTAAGTAAATTCGTTTAAAATGTCAATATGTTTTTATTGGAACTGACAATCAACAGCGTCCGATTATCCTACAAGTCATCACAAACTTATTCTCCTTAAAACTGGTATTTTTTCTACGTCACAAAAAATATCACATCCAGAGTATTTTAATTCTTCACAAATGCTGTTAAAAGGGGAAAATTTTCTAAAACACGTTACAGTATTATCTTAAAGCAGAGACTATTAAGGCAAACAAAAATATCGGATAGCGGTGTCTAGCAACCATACTGTAAGTTCCCTGTGCATTTTGATTAATCTGCTAATATTGACATGGTTTTTCAGTTTAAATACATAAAAACTATAGTTACCAGATTTAAATAGTATTAACTACAAGATTACAATGACATGAAATTTGTAATGTCGTAGGTGTTGAGTACTGTAGATTTATATAACATTTAATTCTTCCTGGAAATACCACCATTTAATTTTTCATTGGATGGTTGATTAAATGGTCAGGACTTGGGAGTGGATCTGTCTTCCTTTTATCCTCAGCATCTACTGTACTTAGTTTAGGATACTCACTCACCATACTGTGTGAGGTGTGATGTGTGTGGTCACATCATGGTGTAGGTATCCTCCTGGGGCTGTGCGGCTGTGCCTGGGATGGTAACTAATGTTCTTTGGTTTACGAAACTATTATTATTTAAAACTAATTTCTTGTGTTTAATTTTCTATAATTTAAAATTTAATTAGTCATTTACTTTCTTGGTTCATTATTTATGTGACATATTTACCAAATAAAATTAAATCTATAATGTTTTCAACAACGAATTTTACAACTCGTTCTCTGAAAGATATATAGATATACAGAAAGAATGCTATATACAGTATATTTTAATGCACAAAGATCGCCATACGGCTTTAGTAAGTTCACATAATAACATACACACTGGTAGGTAATTGGAGCGTTTCTGTCCTCTAGGACCAAACCCACCCCAAAGGTGTGGCTAGCGTAGTACTGTAGTGACAAGTGAGGCTGAGCAACAAAGATGTGTGACTGTGAGTAGCCCAAAATAAGCCATAAAACAAAAATATTGAGTTCCTTATATTTGGTTAGGTGAATATCAGTCAAAAAACAAATAAATTTAAACAGAATGTGATACAACATTGAACTTAGCTAGTATAAACTGTAGTTGGTTGGACTCTTCAACATCTTGTGAGTAAGTTGCCGAAGGTACACCCCATTTCGTCGCCAATCCATTTCGTCACTGACCTGGCTCGTTACCAAAACCCCATTTCGTCACCAATATCAAATCCGTTTCGTCACCACTAATAGTAACTGGTATAAGTGACAAATTGTAAGTTATTATTTTACATGAATAGAAATTACACGTGTATACAGACGACTCGAGAAGTATTGTGTTATTATTTTACATGAATATTAATAATTCAATAAAGAAAACGATTAAAACATTGGTAAATAAACAAAATACAGGACAATTGTAGGTGATTTGGCACCCGCGCTTAAACCTCCGAGCAGTGAGATGACTACATGCGTATCGATGTTTTTATTTTTTATTTTCGTCTTTAATAAATTGTCTTAGTGTTTTTTATTATTTTCTATCCCAAGCAACAGTTATTTTCTTGTATATATTACTTTTATCCTCTCCACCAATGATCAGCTCGTTAGCCGCTTGGGCGATTGGTTACGTCTCTGTTAAGCTCTGTTGGTAAGTACTGGGCATCCACGGGTCCGACTAATTACCCAAATGTACCCAAATGTAGCCACAATAAAGTCAAATAATGGTCCTACATGAATAAATGGGACTGCCAATCACTTCTCGACTGGTATTTGGTGTCACGAAGTCACAAAAAATTGGTAAACTTAATTTAATCTGAGTAAATAGAACAAGTGCATGTACCTAACCTAACCTAACCTCGACTAGTATTTGGTGTCACGAAGTCACAAAAAATTGGTAAACTTAATTTAATCTGAGTTAATAGAACAAGTGCATGTACCTAACCTAACCTAACCTAACACAACTCAGATTAAATTAAGTTTACCAATTTTTTGTGACTTTATGACACCAAATAATAATCGAGAAGTGATTCACAGCCCGATTTACGCTTGTACGACCATCATTTGACTTCATTGCGGCTTCATTTTGCTACATTTGGGTACATTTGGGTAATTAATCGGACTGGCATGCACTGGTTCCTGAATGTATCTCATCCTGCTCCAGTGCTTATCCAGTCTGAGCACAAGCTAAAATCGTGCACAAGAAAAGCAAATCATGACAAACAAGTCCATCTCTGGAAGCTGTGGGATGAATATGAAGAAAAAATATCACCAATTTTAATTTTCTAAAAAAAAAAAGTCAGGGTTTTCCAAGTTTCCATGAGTATTAAATACTGTTTAAGTGGGATGATTGCAGGCGTTTTAACAATGTTTTTATTTATATTTTCGTCGTTAATAAATTGTCTCTGTATTTCTGATTATTTTCTATCCCAAGCAACATTTTCGTGTACATATTGATGGGAATGAACGCGGTGACGAAACGGGTGAAGCAGTGGTTACGAAACGGGTTAAAAATAGTGGTGACGATATGGACAGATCCCATTATCGATGCCAGAAACTATCAAGGTGACCATGTGGGAACATAAGAATGGAGGAAACTGCAGCGGGCCTATTGACCCATACTGGGCTGTCCCGTTTATACCCAACCCCAATTGCTCATATAAGCATCCAACCTATGTTTGAAGCTATCCAGCGTATTCGAGTTAATGATGATATTTGGTAACTTGTTCCATTCATCCTTTACTTTGTTTCCAAACCAGTGTTTACCTATTTCATGCCAAAATCTAAATTTGTCTAATTTAAACCCATTGTTCCGAGTTTGCTCCTGGTTGGATAGTTTGATTACCTTTGTAATGTCCCCTTTGTTTAACCCTGACTTCCATTTATACACCTATATCATGTCGCCCCTCACTCTACGTCTCTCGAGGGAGTGCAAATTAAGATGGTTTAACCTGTCTCTGTATTCAAGGTTCCTAATGCCCGGGATTAGTCTTGTCATTCTCCTCTGGATTCTTTCCAAGGATTCTATATCCATTCTGTAATACGGTGACCAGAACTGAACTGCATAATCCAGGTGAGGTCTCACAAGCGCTAGATATAATTTATCAGCAAGTTGTGTAGCGCACACTAATTACGTGTTTTATTTCAGGTTTAGTGGAAGATATTCAAATATCCGTGACTGTTAAACTGATGTGTGGTGGCTGTAGCAGCTCCCCTGGATAACAAGGTAAGGTAACAGTACTACTGCTTGGTCGTCACATACTATGCACTCGGTCTTACGATATTTACTTTATTCTCTTCTCCGCTTTAGTTTTAATAACAATTGCAACTCAAGTGAATAATAATGTTGTTAGTAAATTCAATCTTGTCAAACACTAATTTTGGTAAATTTATAGTAGTTCACTTAACTCTGTTAGGAAGTCAAAATTATGTTTTTTTATTGTTTATTTGTGTGTTTTGATTGGTTCTGACCTTGACTTTCGTCGGAAATTGCCTGTTTTTTTTTGTTTTTTTAGTTATCGCCCCCTTCTACCCTCAACATGATAAGGGATCCTGTTGGGAACCGGGGTTTTGGGTGGGGCGTTCTCTGACAAAGATCATGGCCAAGATGCACCAAAAAACACTAGAGAAGATATAAACCTAAATTTTTTTGGATTGACCTAACCTAATCTAACCTGACCTAACTCACGGTGTTTTTATGTAACCACACTCTCACCATATGAGGGAATCACTGTTATTTCTTACCGTATTCTGAATTAAAATCTTTACTGGAGTCGGGAGAACACCATGAGATCTAAAGAATTCTATTGCTTGTTAGTTTTTCCCAAAAACACACAATTAACACCATATAATTAAAGTGACACCCATCGCAGACTTCCATGGTCGGAAATGAATTTGAATTTCGAAGCCTGAGAGACCCAAAATCACAATCGAATCTGTTTGGGCAATAAATACCTCGAATTCTGAAAGTAGAAACCACAATTCATTTTAATTGGTGGCAAAAAAATAACACTTTTGATTGGCCGCGTGACGTGTATGGGAATGCATGCACATGACAATTTATGAAGGGAATACACTGAGTGGGAGGTCGGGTAGGCGATAATGGCTGAAGATTAATGGAATTAAATAGAGAAAGATTTGGCATGCGGTATTTCCAATATTATACGTTTCCGACGGTAATGTAATAGAAGAAAACTATCTTAAAGTTAGACGTCTTTTAGGAATATGATAAAACATTTGGGGTAGGAATGTTGTGTGAACTACAGTGAACCCTCACTTTACGCGGTCAATTGAACCCACGGCGGCCCGCGTAAAGTGAACAACATAACATATGGGATTAATTGAAATAGAGACCGGGCCGACCCCCAAACTCCACTTTTTCAGACACAATACCTACGTTGTAGTAAAAATAACTTCTTAATTTTATGATGGTATGCACACACAATTAATAATTAAGAGAAATATCAATAATATTAGGTTTTTTAACCCTTACATTAGGAGAAAAGATGGCTGGGCACACGGGGATGGGGGGTTGGTTCCGAGGCAGAGTGCAGATTATTGGCCCTCACCTGTATCACTTGTATCAATTGTATCACTATCCACCACAGAGGCTTGCAGGGCCTCTTTGTCAAACCCCTCAAAGTCCATATAAGTCCATATCCTCACTATCATTATCACTATCACTGACTTGGGCCGGCTGTGGTGGGTGGCGGGTGAAGAACTCGGTAATGTTTTGATGACTGGGTGACCTTGTGCGCACCCTGCTCTCGCCGCTCTCCGCGTAAAAGGGTACACACACCGCGGAAAGTGAGCATTCCGGTTTCGGCAGGGTACCGCATAAACGTGGAAACGCGTAAAGTGAAACTGCGTAAAGAGGGGGTTCACTGTACTATAAAGATACACTAATTTATTGGGAATATTATTTTGCTGAAATAAGTGTTTGGTAACAGAAAATTATACTACGTACTGTAATAATTTGTGTCTAGGGCACCACTGAGCTTGCAGGTTTGGTGAATTTGTTTATACTTATAACACTTGTTACTTGAATGTACTTTTGTTATAAGCTTTGAAAAGGTTACTTTAAGTCTACCTATGAGACAACACAAGTACATACTGTATTACCTGTAAAACGGTATCTCACCTAAGCAGCTACCAAGCAGGAAGGTACTTCCGCCTGGGAAGATATTGGAAGCATAATGTGTTGTCTAATGGTAGACCCTGCTGCTATATGGCATCACGAAAATTGTGACCAAGTCTCAGGTTGCTGATCTGATTTTCTGCCTCATTTACACACAATTGCAGGGTCTCAATTGTTTATCTTACTATTGACATCACATCATACTTACGTATATTTCTCACTTTTGATCTTTTTTCTTCTTTTTTATTTCTTTATGGTTCTTTATTATTATTATTATTATTATTATTATTATTATTATTATTATTACTACTACTACAGGTTGTACCTCTCTAGTCCGGCAACCTCGGGACCTGACCGGTGCCGGACCATGGAAATTGCCGGACCCTGGAAATTCACCCTTTTCCTGGATAGATAGTGACTTGTGCTTATGCCTGGAAGCACTAGCACCACTTTCTCTGCGTCATGGTCTCTTTGAAGACATATTGAAGGGTTAAATGTCGTATAGTAGCTTCTCAAATTTCGCGAGTTTTTAATTCTTAACGTATTTTATTGGAACACACAAAAAAATAAATACAAATTTTGACGGCGGAAACTTGAATTTCGATTGGTTTGAACGGCCCGCCAACGTGCAGACGACGTGCATAATCGTGTAAACAGGGTCATTTCCCTTATTTACAAAAGATTCATTATTGTTTATTACTGAATGTCTTTTTTATTGAATTAATGTTTATGTGTGCAAAATGAGCAATACAATTCATTAATAATACGTAGAATATTAAAACACATGAGGAAATGACACAGCATTGTTTTCGTTGATTACAAAACCAGTGACTGACTGGTTCTACATATAAAACTGAAGAAAATAAGACCTTGGTTGTAGCTGTAGTAAAATTAATATGGTTGTTTTAAGTAATGTTATTTAATGTTAATAAATGGAACAATAGAAGTAGCTAACGATAATGGTAAAGAAAAAAGAGAGATCGCATATGTAAGTGCGCATGCGCACACGTGAAAACATATCGTCATTACTTTACATAAGAATATGAAAGCAACACTTATTTACTGTTCATATATATTTTAATTAATGTTTCTGAATTTGTTTTTATTGAATTAATGTACGTGTGTGCAAAATTAACAATACAATTTATTAATAATACGTGGAATATTAGAGGAGACGAGACGGCTGCCGGCATTGTTTATGTTAAAGCTTACGAAACCAGTGACTGATTGGTTCTACATATAAAACTGAAGAAAATAAGACCCTGAGTTTAGCTGTAGTAAAATTAATGTAAAAAATGAATATGGTTGCTTGAAGTACCTGTAATGTTATTTAATGTTAATAAATGGAACAATATAAGTAGCTAACCATTAATGGTAAAAAAAAAAGTGAGACTGCTCGTATGTAAGTGCGCACATGTGAAAATATATCGTCATTACTCTACATAAGAATATGAAAGCAACACTTATTTACTGCTCATATATATTGAAGGGTTAAATGTTGTACTCTGTATAGACAAGCAGAGAGAGAGAGAGAGAGCAGCCGAACTGCCGGATGTAAACAAACCTTAATTTCCCGCGGCTTTTTTTTTTAAGGGGATTAGCCCACCCGGGAATAGGTCACTGACCCACATTAGGGCCTGAGGGGCAAAAATTTAATACTCTTGTAATAATAATAATAATTCAGATAAGAAAAAATAAATAAAAAAAAGCTGCCTATCTACCTATTGGACAAACTAAAATCGTTCCGGACCACGGGAGTTTCCGGACCACAGAATGCCGGACTAGAGAGGTACAACCTATATATATATATATATATATATATATATATATATATATATATATATATATATATATATATATATATATATATATATATATATATATATATATATATATATATATATATACTGTATATATATATACCAAGGCACTCTGTTTACAATACTATGGTCATATGAGAATAATTATAACTATACTTTACCTATGTTTGTCTTTGATACCCCCAAAATGTTCTACACTACTGAGGGTATACAAAAACACTTGTTATCTTGAAAATAGGTTCTTATTCTCGTACGGGAGATATACAGAGGAAACGAATAGCCGTGGGCTTCCACACCATAAGGACTAGCGATCTGAACTCTCTGTATCACTCCGCGCTGGCATGTACAGATGCCAGCATTCACAAGCTGAATACATAATATGTAAATATGATAATTCACATGCATAACATGGTGCATAATAAATGGAAATATTACATAGGATTAATACATGTTCTGTAATACTTTACTATACATAATTAATAGAGTAATATAAGGATACACAGCTTAAGGTACTACTTCGTGTCCATATTATACACCTCCCTCCCCCCTATACGCTCATAGTTTCATCTTGAGCGGACCTTTTGTTTCTGAGTCGCTCGGACCTGCGGAGTACCGGGGCAGAAACACAAGGTGGGGATGGATTTACTGTAAAGACATCAACATTAGGGGACTCAACTGGGGAAGGGTCAACACTAGGCAGCTCCACAGGTCGGAGGAAACGACGGTTCCTCCACCATACTCTACCACTAGGAAGACGCACTTGGTAGTCCCTGGACCGGCCAATACCCATGACAACCCCAACCTTGTCCCAGCGGTGAGATACCGGATCTTGAATCCTGACCTGCTGGCCGATACTCAACCTGGGAAGGGGGCGGGCATGACAGTCGTACCGAGCAGCGACATCTGCGGCTCGTTCTGCTGCACGGCGGTCACATTCTTCAGTCTTGGCCTGCCATTCTTGAGAAAAAGACTTCGGGTGGGCAGGAACACAAGACCTGAGATGATGTCCATATAGAACCTGGGCTGGGGAGCGTCCGGTGAAGTTCGGGGTGTTGCGTAACTCTAACAAACCTCAATCGAAGTCCTCGCAGTCGATATTTCCTGAGGGTGACACCTTAAGGATCAGGTGTTTAACAGTCTTGACTGCGGCTTCAGCGTGTCCATTCACCTGGGGGTAGTGGGGCGAGGTCACGACATGACGGACTCCCCAACGGTCCATGAAGTCCCGGAACTCGTGGCTGGTGAACTGGGGTCCTCCATCAGTCCAGAGGCGGAGGGGAACACCAACTTCTCTGAAGTAATGTCTGAAATTCTGGATGGTAGCAGCAGCCGTTGTATCACTACCACAGGGGACGACAACAGGCCATCCAGACAATCGGCCGGCAATGACAGGAAGGACTTCCTCTGCCACTGCAAAGAAGTCTGCCGACACAGACTCGAAGGGTCTTGAAGGGTTATCGTCGCACATTAAAGGTTCCTGTTGCTGGCTGGGTTGCAGAATCTGGCACGGCTCACAGGCACGGACGGTACTTGCAATGTCCGCATCGATTCCGGGCCAAAATACAGTCTGCTTCGCCCATCGCTTGGTGGCCTCCACTCCTCGATGGCTGTCGTGAAGGCGGGTCAAGGTACGGCGGCGTAGGGCAGCAGGAATGACTACTCGTAGACCATACAAGACGAGGTCTCCGTCACAATAGAGGTCCACGCGTATCTTCCAGTACGGGAGTAGCAATTCATGAAGGTCGTATCGGTTAGATGGAAATCCCTGGGACACACAGTCGACGAGCCGGATATAGGAAGGGTCGGCCCGGGCTGCGGTGCGGAGATCTTCAAGGGTCTTGTCTGCATCCGGTGCTGTAGACTCTTCTGATGTGAAGACGGCCTTCAATGAGACTACTGACTTGAGGGATGCGGCAGCTGTAGAACACAACATCTCGTCCTCTGGGGTGGGGCGACTGACAGGGGCGCGGGACAGGGCATCCGGGATGCACAGCAGCTTACCCGCACGCCACACAGCTGTGAAGAGATAAGGCGAGAGCTTCTCTTTCAAACGTTGAAGGCGAGAATTCTCTACTGCATCCAAAGAGTAGTGATTGATAATAGGTACAAGAGGGTGATGATCCGTGAAGTGCTGAAGTCCTTTCAGGTGGAAGCGGCACTTCGCCATCGCCCAGACAACAGCAAACATCTCCAGCTCAATCGTGGCATATCGGGTCTCGGCGTCCGTTAGGAACCGGGATCCACACTGAATTAAGCGGAGTTGTCCACCGCCATGGTCCTGCAGAAGGGCGTAACCAACGCCGTAGAGTCTGGAGGTGTCAGTCTTGAGGACAGTGGGTAGGGCTGGGTCGTAACAGGCGAGGACAGGTGGACTTAAGAGGGCCTGCTTGACTCACTGGAAGGCCTCTTGATGATCTGGGGTCCACAGGAATGTCCTCCTGGGGCTCAGCAGGGGGCGTAACGGCTGGGCTGCGGCGGAGATGTCAGGTGAAAATTCAGCCAGCTGATTGACCAGACCCAAAAATGAACGGAGGTCTGTCAGGTTGGCAGGGTTTGGAAAATCCCTGATTCCACTTAATTTCTCCAGGTCAGCTGCGATGCCTGATGCTGAGAGAGTGTACCCACAGAAGTTCACTGATGGTGCGGCGACTACAAACTTGTCAGCGTTGAGGGTAATCCCGTACTTTCGACATCTGGTAAGAACTTCATATATTCGGGAGAGGTGGGCACAGTAGTCTTCGTCATGGAGTAAAATATCATCAACCACCTTGACACAATTCGTGACTCCTTGAAGGGCCGCATCACCACGTTGACAGAATGCATTGCCCGTAGCGGCAAATCTCATGGGGCCTCTGCAATACTGATATCTTCCATATGGTGTGATGAATGTAGTCAAATGCTGGTCTTCTTTGGCCAACTCGATCTGCCAATAACCACATAAGGCATCCATCGTTGTAAAAAACTTCGCCTTCGGGTCCACATTTCGAACAGCTGCGAAGGGTGTGGGTGAAGGGTGGGCTGGACGGGAAACTTGCTGGTTAAGTTTTGATAGATCAGTGGTGATCCGTACTCCACCACGAGGTTTGGCGACGGGGACGAGAGGGTGGCACCAAGGTGAAGGTTCGTCTCCGGCCGGCTTGATGATTCCCTGAGCAACCATGGAGTCAAGCTCTTGTCTAACTAGCTCCTTGTAGGCGTGAGGAATCAAACGAGGGGTGTGGATGGCAAAAGGTGTGGCACCATCCTTAAGATGAATCTTCATAGGCGGACCCACCATCGGCTTGAGTGGTGTGGATCCTAAAGATTTCTTCGTAACCAACATGTCAGCAAACTCCTTGAGAAGGTAAGCTCTTGCATCAGAAGGGGACGTGTTAGTAGGAGGCACTTGAAGTGTGTGCTCGAGAGTACGTTGTGTCTCTAAGTACAAGCACATACAAAGCTGTATCATCTGTTTAGTCTGTGGTAAACTTGACAGATCAACCATTGTTGCATAGTCTTGCCAACGTCGACGCCATTCCCGAAATATCTGATAAGAAGCGTCAGACTTCAGAGAGGGAGGCGTTTGTGCTGCAGCCTTTTGAGGAATTGTTGAACCGACTCTGGGAAATGAGGTACCAGTACCTCTAGTCGTATCAGCATTAGTAGTGGCAGAAGAATCTTGTACAGTAGATCGTTGTGGGGAGGCTAACAGGGAAATCAAGACTTCAAATCTGGCTTGATCCTCTCTTCTTCTCAGGTCATCCTCACTTCTACGTATATCTTCTAGTTCTCTGCGTCTTTGTTCAGTACACAGACAAAATTTTCATCTGTAATTCACTTTAAGATGGCTGGCAAGCTTAAAGGTGAGTGTTTTGTGGTGCTGAGAAGAAAAAGAGACCCCCATTATTTGTTTTTCTATGTATTATTTAAGCATTTCCGACTTACGACCATTTCGACTTACGACCTGGATGTCTGTCCCTAACCCCGTCGTAAGTCAGGGAGCAGCTGTATGTCTGTATTTACCCTAGGAATCTTCTTATATACAGCATACTGTATGTAATGACTTGGGGTCGCACTGGATAGGCGACAGCACTAGACGGGGTCGCACTGAAAAATGCTTGGGAACCCGTGGTATAAACATTTCTTTGTGTGAGAGTTACTGGACTGTAGGACCGCAGTCTGTGAGCTCCGACACCATTGCTGCTTCTCTTATATGTCCTAGACTTTTATTTGATCCACATGAATAATTATTTGAAAAACTTAACAAATATGATACTGTGCTGCTACGTTATTTGACTTATCAGTAAGCAGATGAAGTAAAATGCGGTAACCTCCCTGTCTTAGGTTTGGTAGATGAGTTTTGATCATTTTATGAACATTAAATCATATATAATGTAGCAGTAGCTGGTAAGTTGTTCCTCTGTGAATTTAGTTGAAACTTGGAAAAAGTATTAATACAAGACGAATAAAAAAAAACTGTATTTAAGGCGAAAGGTCCAGGTTAACTATACTGTAGTAGCTACCTAACAAAAAATATTTATACAGTGAAACCTCTATTTAACGGACTACACAGAGAGGAAAGTCCATTATATTGAGGGTTTGTTAGATGTGAAACCACATCTAATGGATTACATGAACGGAGAAGACTGTTAGAAGGAGGTTTACTGTAGAAGTGGACCCTCAAAATGATGGTTCTTTATCTGGAAGATCACATTCCTAGGTTATAACATGGCCAGTGGCTTAGGTAAAGAACTGTGTCCTAATTGTTGATTTTACCATCTTTCAACATAATAGCTTGGGGTAAAGAGGACTGTTAACCAGATTTCAGACCTTGGTGTGGAAGTAACATTTCATAGGTGAGCACATTTTTAACAACGGTTATTTTGATTGATGGGAGAATGTGTGTATGTGTTCCTGTTTTGGCCACCTTTCAGTAAGAATGAAAAAGACTAAGAAGGAATCGTAGGTGAATTTAGATGGCATCTTTCGGGGGTTTTAATTTGGATAATTATTCGTGTATGTGTTTGCTCCTATTTTTAGCTCCCTCCAGTAAGCACGAATACAAAAATAGATGAATATTGAAGGTATATGCCTCGTATGTTCCTGCTATAGAAGTACTTGTACTGTACAGTATTAATTTATTCTTTTTAATTAGGACAAGTGTCATTTCAACCATCATGTTTCTAGATTTATATTACTATGCCCACTCCGCCACACCAAGACCTCCAAATGGTTAATACACATGGTGCCATTGAGAGGGCAAGAATAGCAAGTCTTATGGTGGCAGGATTCCAGAGTGGTTAATCCTTACCAGAAATAAGACGTACACTTATTGTTTTTGTAAAGTAAAATATATTTTCTGAACCAACTGTCTATTCACACTAGTGGTTTAATTTATGAAGTGTGTTTTAATTTAGTCATTCAAAAGTTTGCCCATTGGGGTTTGACACTGGTCAGTAATGTCCCTAAACTTTATTGCAGATGAAACTGAGATGTGGTCCCTCATAACCTTGGCCCTGCTTGGATGTTGATACAGTACATCATCTTACTAGGATGAAACATGGACATTGGATTAGGTAAAGAACTGTGTCCAAATTGCTGTGCTCACTATATTTTAATAGCTTGGGAGAAGTTGACTGTTAATCTTGGTGTGGAAGGAACATTTCATTCCAGAACACATCTTTAACACTGGATCTTTTAACAACAGTGACATTGATTGATGGGAGAATGTGTTTAATAATGATAATTAACGGTTTATAAAGATAACATGGCAGCCAGAAGGCTGAAAATATAAAAGAAGCAGAGATGATAAGTTACTTATGGTGAAATTTGGGAGTGGGTCACTTTATTGACAATAGATTTTAGTATAAAAAGATAAGTAACATTTTTTTTTTCTTTTACATGGAATAGCACACCCAGGCACAGGGTCAACATATAGATTAAGTATAGATCTGGTACTGTAGGAGCTGATCTTGATAGTGGCGCCAACAAAGTCCTTCATACGTTTCAGATGGCCGTCATATCTGGGTGCTAAGGGCCACTCCCTCACTACAGCTGCAGATGTTTAGCACAGCCGCCAATGTTCCAGGTAGGTCCTTCAGCTCACACAGGGTGTTAGGGATGGTTCTTGTTCCTCATGTGATGCAGTTAGGAATTCATAATTCCTCACCTGGGTGGAGTAGGGAGTCCTCATTTCTCTCCTGATGTAGTTTGGAGTGTTTCTTGGCTTCTCATCCAGTGTTGGTGATGGTGGGTGAACAGTTGACCCTGGATGTGTCAGGTCTACGTCAGGTCACCATTGGCTGCTGAGCTCTGATTGTCACTGACAGTTGTTTCTTCCTTTAGAGTTGAAATTGTCACTTTTGTATATTAGTTGTGGGTTGATCGTCAATCTTTGCACTGTTTTTTTTTTTTTTTTTTTTTTTTTTTACACTGGCATTAGCCCCCCTGGGCACAGGTCATTTTTAATGAAACACACCAAGGCCTGTAATAATAATAATAATAAAATTAGTAAAAATAAATAACAATTATAATGAAAGAAAATATTAATACAAATAAAAATTATAAATAATAATGAGCTATAAATAATAAAAAAAATATCAGGAGTGAGAAATGATACATGTATACTGTATTGTGTTGTTAAAATAAAAGAAACAATTGAGACCCTGCAATTGTGTGTAATTAAGGCAGAAAATCAGATCAGCAATCTGGGACTTGGTCACAATTTTTGTGATGCCATATGGCAGCAGGATCCACCATTAGACAACGCATTATGCTTCCAATATCTTCCCAGGCCGTAGTACCTCCTTGATTGATAGCTGCTTATTATGTGTCTGTCCATTATTTAAAGATTATATAAGTTTTGTTTTTGCAGATGTCCAAGCAACAGTGGAGTCAGGTACAGTTACATCAGTCAGCCAGTAAGAAGAAACTTGGAACCTGACCTAACCTAATGATCAGAGCCCTAATATCAAATGACACAGCTGGAAGATAGTGCTTTAGCTTACATATGCAGAAAATCAAGTAGAAGAACATGTCCAAGGGTGTGAAAGCAGCATCATTATTCCTATTAATCAAAGAAATGTAAATATTCAAGTGTGTGTGTGTGTGTGTCAAGAACTTTGGGACAGCTGTTCACCTTCATTAAGTGAGGGCCACATACTGTCCTCTCTAAGGAAATTTTATGTTAAATTACTTAAATGTAAATCCAGTAGCGAGTAATGTAATCTGTTAAATAAATTCATCATAACCATTTGTTTCAAGAGTGATTATACTTAAGTCTCAAACTAAAGAATGGAAATTTATAAAGCTCTACCATTAGAGAAATGGGAAAACATTAAATTTGTCACAATTATGTTTTGTGAATTAAAACAAAAAACCAAGTTGATACTGTACTGTTTTTTTTTTCTCCTTTAGAATAGTACAGCACAGAGCTTGTTTTACTAAGGTGTACAATACATGCTATTTATTTTGTACAAAGTCATTTGAATTTAACAATTTTAATGAAAAACATTGAGGGTTTACTTGATGTATATAATCAGAAGGCAGCTACTACAGCAGGAAGGTACCACTATCAAGTTAATTTTGATATGAGCGCTGAGCAGGGAAGTGCACAGGTAACCAGCTGGCCCCACAGTTGCCTTGATTGCAGCTACACAAGTCCGGCCCTGAGTGGCACATCTTAGTGAATATACATTACAGTAGTAGCTTTAGTGGTACCTGTCCCTCACAGTGTGGGTGGTACCTGCCCCTCCTCATAGTGTGGGTGGTACCTGCCCCTCCTCATAGTGTGGGTGGTACCTGCCCCTCCTCATAGTGTGGGTGGTACCTGCCCCACCTCACAGTGTGGGTGGTACCTGCCCTCACAGTGTGGGTGATACCTGTCCTCACAGTGTGGGTGGTACCTGCCCCATCTCACAGTGTGGGTGGTACCTGCCCTCACAGTGTAGGTGATACCTGTCCTCACAGTGTGGGTGGTACCTGCCCCACCACAGTGTGGGTGGTACCTGCCCCACCACAGTGTGGGTGGTACCTGCCCTCACAGTGTGTGGTACCTGCCCCTCCTCACAATGTGGGTGGTACCTGCCCTCCTCACAGTGTGGGTGGCACCTGTCCTCACAGTGTGGGTGGTACCTGCCCTCCTCACAGTGTGGGTGGTACCTGTCCTCACAGTGTGGGTGGTGCCTGCCCTCCTCATAGTGTGGGTGGTACCTGCCCATCCTCATAGTGTGGGTGGTACCCACAGTGTGGGTGGTACCTGCCTCCCATAATGTGGGTGGTACCTGCCCTCCCTGTAATGTGGGTGGTCCTGCCCTCCTCAGTGTGGGCGGCACCTGGCCCTCATAGTGTGGGTGGTACCTGCCCCACCTCACAGTGTGGGTGGTACCTGGCCCTCAGTGGGTGGTACCTGCCCTCCTCACAGCTTGGGTGGTACCTGTCCCTCAGTGTGGGTGGTACTGCCCTCCTCACAGTGTGGGTGGTACCTGCCCCTCATAGTGTGGGTGGCACCTGCCCTCCTTAGTGTGGGTGGTACCTGCACCCTCATAGTGTGGTGGTACCTGCCTCCTCATAGTGTGGGTGGTACCTGCCCTCGCAGTGTGGGTGGTACCTGTCCTCCTCACAGTGTGGGTGGTACCTGCCCTCATAGTGGTGGTACCTGCCCTCACAGTGTGGGTGGCACCTGCCTCCTCACACTGTGGGTGGCACCTGCCTCACAGTGTGGGTGGTACCTGCCCTCCTCACAGTGTGGGTGGTACCTGCCCTCCTCATAGTGTGGGTGGTACCTACCCCTCCTCACAGTGTGGGTGGTACCTGCCCCTCACAGTGTGGGTGGTACCTGCCCCTCACAGTGTGGGTGGTACCTGTCCCTCACAGTGTGGGTGGTACCTGCCCCCCTCAGTGTGGGTGGTACCTGCCTGTTACAAGTCGGCCCACACCGCTGTCTATGATTGACTAATTAGGTGATGCCCAGGAACGACCAATGTCAATGAGGGTGGTTCACGGCCTGTATGCTCATATAAATTCTCTGTTTTGATTTACGATGTTTCTTTATATCAGTGTTATTTGGTTTTGGTTTTTAAAACATTATGTAAGAGCCATATTTTGTTTTATAGGGTAAAAGGTGTAAAACTTTTGATGTATTGTATTAAGATTAGTTGGCAACCGAGCCATATTTGTGTAGTGGTGGTGGTGATGGTCACAGCAGACCAGCGTGAGCAACCTACTGAACCGAACAGCACGGAGAACCTGGAACACTAGACATGGTGTACACACACCGAAGTGGGGTACCCCAGTATTTGCCAACAGTGCATGACAGAGACGTGACCGATCGCCCAAGCGGCTAACGAGCCGATCAGTGGTGAAGAGGATAAAAGAAAAGAAAAGAAGATAGCCGCCGACTTGTGCGTGAAGTAATTGGAGATATATGGTCATGATAACGTGCTCTGTGAATGTAAATAGTGTAATATATGTCATTGTTACACGACGAGTTTCCATAAGCCCTTCATCTCTGTCTGAAAGGCCTGTGAGAACTGACAGGAGTGACAGTGTGGGTGGTACCTGCCCCACACAGTGTGGGTGGCAGGGCTATGAGCTCAGAAACTCATGAATACTGTAAGTCAATGGGCCATGAACCAGAAAATGGCATACATTTAACAATTTGTGGATACTTGTGAATACTTACAAGGGTAAAGGTAATGCACTTGAATGTGGGAACTATAGAGGCCTGAAGTTATTTGGTTAGGCTGTGAAACTTAAAGAACAAGTGATGGAGAAATAGATAAGAACCATGTTAGATGTAAATGAGATGAAGTTTGGGTTCACGCCAGTGACAATAAGGCAGCTCTCACACTATCTGTGTAAACTTCTCAAACAGAAAATTAAAATAGGATAATTTGATCATATAACTGGGGATGAGGGGATGATATCAAATATTAATGGGCAAAGTTGAGGGTAGGAGGGCCAGGGAAAGGCAGAGACTGATATGGATGAACGAAATTAAAAATTTGGTCCCCAGAGATACAAAACCTTGGAGGTTTGGTAAAAACAGCCCTGAATGTTTAGAGAGAAGGCTATGGTCGTCAACCCTAGATTTGAGGATGATAAACTGTTTGACTGTAATGCACAGTTTCATTCAAGATTCTTCGAACACTGCTGGAGACAGCTGGCAACTCAAAGCTGTTTGTTTAATATAGTAAGTAGGATTGTAGTAGATCCTCTCCCCTACAACTCCCAACTGAGCTCCGGCCGCGTGCCTACCAGCCAATCATCGTACAGCCAGCTACGCCAAGAGACGAGGTCTATGCAGTGGACATAGGGGTACGATCGCCGACCTAGCCTCACGTTCACCGCCGTGCTGTTTTCGACCGCATCCATGGTCTCAGCCACCTGGGTGTGCGGGCCTCCCAGCGCCTCCTCACGCAATGTGTCGTCTGGCCCGGCATCAAGTCTGATACTAAGAAATGGGCTGCCCAGTGCCTGGCCTGCCAGTCCTCCAAAATACATTGTCACATACGGGCCCCCTTACAAACCTTCCCTATTCCCAAAGGACGTTTTCAAGTAGTACACCTCGACATTGTGGGACCTCTACCATCATCCTACGGTAGCACCTACATCTTCACCTGCATCGACCGTTTCACCAGGTGGACAGAAGCCATTCCCATGCCCAATGCTACAGCAGAGACTACCGTCCGCGCCCTCATGTCCGGTTGGGTTTCCCATTTCGGCCCCCCCACAACCGTCATCACTGACCGAGGAGGAGGGGGAGTATTGTAGTGGATCCTCTCCCCTACAACTCCCAACTGAGCTCCGGCCGCGCGCCTACCAGCGTACAGCCATACATACATGAAATGCTAGTGACAGGGGGGAAGGAGGTTCAGGGGAAAGATAAAGGGAGGATTGAAGTGAATTTTAGAAGGAGAGAATAGGTGCAGTGGCTAAACACCACTTACGTGAGGGAGTTTAAGTTGGAGGCAGCAGCAACTCGCCTGGAAGCGGCGAGGAGGCAGCAGGACAGAGTCAGGTGAGCGTCAGGTCAAGCGCCAGGTGCGTGTTGGGTTGGGCCATGGTTTCTCAGTACTTGGTCGGCTTGATTGTGTGTGTTGTTTTCTTGTTTGGAGGAAATGTCTTGGTCTTCTGTCTTGGTATTCTTCTTAGCTTGATGTAGATTTTCTTCTAACTCTCCTCCTCTTCTTGCTCTCTTGAAGTGTCCATTCATTCGTGTTTGGGTCTTGTTCTTCGTCTTCCTCGTGTCTTAGGTCTTCCTCGTGTGGAAGAAGTCGGAGACGGTGAGGTTGACCACGTGGGCTTCAGCTCCACGGGCCTCGTGGTGTTGTTGATTCCTTGTGGAGTGTGTCTTTTCTTGAGTTTTCTTTTCTTGGGTTTTCTTTTCTTGGGTTTTCTTTTCTTGGTTTTTCTTTTCTTGGTTTTTCTTTTCTGCTGGTTTTTTCTTGTCTTGGGAGCGTACAGCAAGGAGGGCCTCTTTGTAGCTCAGTTTCTTGTCGAGTCGAGCCTTGGCTATCCTGCATTCCTCCTTCCATTTGCGGCAGGTCCGATCGGCGGAGGAATGTGGGCTGCCACAGGCAGCGCATTTTTTTTACTGTGTTGGGGCAGACCGTGTAGCGGTGTCTGGGGCTGCTGCACAGGGAGCAGGTGTCCTCCTGCGCTTCACACTTGTTGACAGTGTGTCCGTAGTGCTGGCATTTGTAACAGCGTTTCGGTCTGTAGTAGGGCTTGACTGGCACAGTTACCCATGCCAGTTGAGCCTCCTTGGGTAAGGTCGCATGGTGTCTGATGAGGGCAGTGGTGTCGGACAGCTTCTTGACAACTTGGAGTTGTCCCTTGAGGAGCTCACTCAGTTCTGCTTGGTCCACGTGGGCAATTTCGGCGTGGGAGATTACTCCCAGCTTCAGGTTGTCCCACTTGTAGGCAATCATCTTTTTTGGAATGCCGCTGATGTCTGGGATCTCCGCGAGCTGTACGGGCATACCCTTCTCGGCGAAGGTGATCTTGATGTCACCATGGAGCTTCAGTCGTTCCACCTTGGTGACCCCCATGATCTCATTAGTTTCAAAGAACTTCTTGAGAACCAGGTTTAATTTCTTGGGGCAGGTTGGCGTATCCGGACGTATCCGCGCCACGTTGTTAAACTCGTAACCGTTCATGGTGAGAGAGGTCAGAGAGTGCTCATGACTGTTGAAAAAAAAAAAAAAAGCGTACAGCCAGTTACGCCGAGAGACTAGGTCTATGCAGTGGACATAGGGGTACGATCGCCAACCTAGTCTCGACCTTCAACTTCCAGCTCAGGATCAGAGCGTTTCACACCTTACGCTCCCGCTCCTGTGATTGGCCCTTGCGCTACAAGCACCTCATATCCTGAGATTCCTAAATCACATAAATACGGCCCCGGCTGACCGGGGAACTCATTCTACACTCGGCTACTGGACCAGCAACATCTCTCAACAGCTCCTCACCACCCAGCTTCCTCAGAAACCTCCTCGCCCTACAGGACCTCTGAGCAAGTTACTGTGGGGTATGGATAGTTTGGTTCACACTCTGGATGGGATGGAGAAAGGAAACTCAAAATGTGCTCTCTGTATACATGTTGTATTGGATGTACAATGCAGCTTGGTGCTGGGAAGGCAGCATGGTTACAAGCGTGATGTAGAGAGAGCTGGTTGGTGAGGGTGCTCAGAGGAGGACAGCTTGTGGGTCGCCATGCTCGCCGGCGGGAGCGAGGACCGCCAGGCAGGCGGAGGAGGAGGAGGTGTTGCTGGCTGGTTGGTGTAGGTAGAAAAGAGGCAGGTCACCACGAGGTCAGGTCTTTTATAGCGGAGGTAGGCGTGGGGAGATAGTTGACCTCCGCTCCGTGGGCGGCGCTGGTTGACCTAGATCACGAGGCACACACTGGGGAATTCGCGGGGTCGGCTACTCAGCGACAAACAGCGTTTGTAGGGGAGAAATCCACTACACTACTCCTCACCTCAGTGGCGTAGCTAGAGTGTGTGCCGCCCGGGGCGGCCCTTGAGTTTGCCGCCCCCCCCCCCCCCCCCACAAAAAATACATATTGCACAGTGACTCACTCTTATATATATATATATATATATATATATATATATATATATATATATATATATATATATATATATATATATATATATATATATATATATATATATATATATATTAAATAGTTTGTGTACCATTATAATATTACTGTACTTTCACATACTCAAATATAGTATGCTTTAAATACACCCCAAACATACTTAAACTTTATAAGTAACAGTTAAACAAAAAGCAAAAACGACATATAGGATAGGGAAAAAAGTAAAAAAGTGTAAAAAATTAGGACCATCTTTATTTCTGAAATGAAAACTACAACTTTCTACAAAGTAACTTTTCTTGTTTTTTTGTTGGCAAATTCTTCAATGACATTGTCAAAAACTATTTCATCTGTCAATTGTCGCTCTATAGACAGTATGGCAAGATTTCTCAACCGCAAGGTGCTCATAGTAGATCTTAAGTAATTCTTGATCAGTTTTAGTTTCGAAAAACTCCTCTCACAGGTAGCAACACTAACAGCAATTGTGAGGAAAATCCTCAGCATTATTACTATATTTGGAACCGAGTTCCCAAGGTTATACTTTTGAATAAACTGCAAAAGTTCAAGGGGGCCTTCTTTCCACGTCTGTATTCTGTCTTTAATAGTTATAGCAGCAACAGCAACAAAATGCTGAAGTCTTTTTCTCTCAACGAGGAACTCCTCTTTATCAATGTCGTCGTGATCGTGATCTATTTGACACTCATATTTATCATCCAAAAGATTCAATGGGGTAAGGAAGGCATATTTCTCAGCAAGTTCATGAAGCTGTTGAAATCTCAAAGTTATTTCTTGGATCACTCTGTCCAGCGAAGAAAACATTTCTCTCCTCATTTCAATGTCGTATGGCAATTCAGCATCTCGTGATCCTTCACCAAACATTTGTTTCTTCTTTTTGGGTCGACGCTGACGCTCCATGACTATCCCCAAATCAACTATTTAATTATGTCCGAAACTTTTGAAAGCCCTTACTGTTGTCAGACAAAAGCCACCCCGATCAAAGTAGGGGGCTTTTGTCTGGGTGGCTTTTGTCGGGGGGGGGGGCTTTTGTCTGTACCCCAGTGAGGATAGTGTCTTGGTATAAAATCGCAATGCTGTGAAACAAAATCTTAATATTTAATCTCAGTACCGCAGCAAAAGTCACATCAATATTTTTAACCAATACTTTAATATTTCTTACCTTATAGTATTATGTCTTCCAACGAAGTAAATAACTGGATCGAAAACACAAGAGAACTTAAAAGTCGTCTAGCCTCCCCTCGTCTTGTCACGACGGAGACTTGTGCAGAACTGAAGTGAATTGCTTGTAACTGGTGGATTGGTCGGCTGTACATGAACTGATATGACCCGAGACTGCATGGTTTTGCAGCTACTGGAGACGTTAAATCCTTCCCTTTGTATCGGCGGCAAGTTAATCCTCGTCGTGTCTGACCTAACACCTGACCCACACCACATGAGCTCACTGGCGTACTTGTTTGAAGTTGTTTCCTTAATCCTCAACAGGTTACAGGTTGGTGGGGGGCCCATAAAGGGTGTGAGTAGGGTAAAGGAGATTGTTTGGTTCACACCAGATGGATGGAGAAAGGAAACTCACAATGTGCTCTTATACATGTTGTATTGATGTACCAATGCAGCTTGGTGCTGGAAGGCAGCATGGTTACAAGCGTGATGTGAGAGAGCGGCTGGTGAGGACGCTGGAGAAGGACAGTTTAGGGTCGCCATGCTGCTAGCTGGAGAGAGGACCGCTGGGCAGGAGGAGGAGAGCGAGGACCGCCAGGCAGGCGGAGGAGGTGTTGCTGGCTGGTTGGTGTAGGTAGAGAGAGAGATCACCACGAGGTCAGGTCTTAAATAGCGGGGGTAGGCGTGGCTTAGCAGTTGACCCCCGCTCCGTGGTGTATGGCGGCGCTGGTTGACCTAGACCACGAGGCATACACTGGGGAATTGGTGGGGTCGGCTAGGCAGCGACAAACAGCGTTTGTAGGGGAGAATTCCACTACAATACTCCCCCTTCCCTCCAGGCTGTGTAGGAGACTTGTTGTCTGCAGGGTTGCATAGCACATGTGAGGCAGAACGGGCGGTGCGTGCCTCATGTGAGACAACGGCGATGGCGTGATGAGCCGGTCGCTGGATACAACTGTCTAGATACACAATATCTGTGGGAGTAGAGAGGGAGAATAAGGGTGTGTGGAGGCGATGAATGTTGTGCTTCCCTCACGGCAGGTACAGAGTCGTCAGATGCGCCTGCTGGGGTGTGTGGGCCTGGGTCAGGAGCAGGGGCTGTGTCAGCAGAAGCGGATGAGGGCTCGTGACAGCAGCTGGGTCCACGACAGCAGCAGGGTGCAGGACATTAGCAGGGAGTACCTGAGGGAGAAAAGAGGGGTGTGTGGGTCCGCACTCAGGAACAGAGGCCGCATCAGGGGCGGCAGGGGTTACTGCTGGGCCGGGGTCGGCGTCTGAGGCAGGACGGGTGTGCTGGGGTCGGTAATTAGGAGGGCGGTGTCTGCTAGGAGAAGCAGAGCTGCTCTAGGGTGTCTGACCTGCGGTGTAGAGACAGTAGTTGTAGAGCCGATGAGAGCTGCTTCTGTGTGGATAAGCCAGTCTTCCATGTTGCTTGAAGACTGGGAGCGTGATCAGTTTCTCCTCCATCCTGTGTGAGTGCGAATCTCCGGGAGTCACCATTTGTGGGGTATGAGATGTTTGGTTCACACTCAGGATGGGATGGAGAAAGGAAACTCACAATGTGCTCTCTATATACATGTTGTATTGGATGTACAATGCAGCTTGGTGCTGGGAAGGCAGCATGGTTACAAGCGTGATGTAGAGAGAGCTGGTTGGTGAGGACGCTCAGAGAAGGACAGCTTGTGGGTCGCCATGCTCGCCAGCGGGAGAGAGGACCGCCAGGCAGGAGGAGGAGGAGCGAGGACCGCCAGGCAGGCGGAGGAGGTGTTGCTGGCTGGTTGGTGTAGGTAGAGAGAGAGATCACCACGAGGTCAGGTCTTAAATAGCGGGGGTAGGCGTGGCTTAGCAGTTGACCCCCGCTCCGTGGTGTATGGCGGCGCTGGTTGACCTAGACCACGAGGCATACACTGGGGAATTGGTGGGGTCGGCTAGGCAGTGACAAACAACGTTTGTAGGGGAGAATTCCACTACAAGCTCATGACGTGGCCGTGATGATGTGGGTCAGGTGTTAGGTCAGACACGACAAGGATCAACTTGCCGCCGATACAAAGGGATGGATTAACATCTCCAGTAGCTGCAGATATGGGTGATGAGCAGACCCAAAAGTGCCGCCCGGGGCGGACCGCCGCCCCCCCCCCCGAGCTACGCTAGTGCCTCACCTAGTCGCTCCTAAGCACTGTACAACAACATATATACAGAAAGCGCATTGTGAGTTTCTATTCTACCTCATTCCTGTGTGGGAGATATCTACATGTACGTACGTTTGTGGCCATACAAAGAGAAAATAGACAACTAAAGAGAATTGACAACTGGCCACTTACAGTACGCTACAGGATAATATAGTACGAAACAACAAAGCCCAACCATTAGTTAAGCAACAGGGAAGCAAGTAACCAATCACTGACAACCTTTTACATTCATTCATAATTTTTACTACGTACTATTACTACTATAGTAAACTAATGGCCTTGAGATGTCAGGTGTCTCCAGCAGTTCGAAAAATCTTGAACGAGACTGTGCATTGAAAATTGTATACCCGCTCGAGTCTAAATACTCTATATCCTGAATTATCTATATACACGCTGTATGCCTGCATTGTCTATATACTTTCAGAAAACAATTGTAAGCTGTGAAGACTTTATTGAATAGATATCTATGTATGAAATAAACCAAAATAAATGTTAATTAATTACCACGACCAGAACTTTACATAACTTTTAACCAGTCAGTTAAAACATTTAGGTAAATCGTTTAATTCAACCTAATGAGTTTAGTACATTCTCGAGTCTCGTGAAGGTTTACATAGTTTATGCACTGTATAACCAGAAAGGTGCAGGAGTCATGTAAAGAGCAACACTTTCTCATACCCGTATCTAAAATGAGATGTGGTAAAACAAAATTGTATAAAATTCAGAAAATCATTAAATTCGTTTTAAAATAATGCTTGAAATTTTTTTTAAATGTCTTTATATTGCATTTATTGTGTGAAATATTTACCTAATATGACAAATTTTCTTCCGTAACATTGACGACTTTACCCACAACCACCTCGGCCTTTCCCCGAGTCGCACTCAGACTGTCAAGGTGTGTTACTGCTGCTGTCTCGTATTACCGTTCACAACGTTCTTGAATATGTTGTGATATACATTTGGGTATTTACTTAGGTTCTAATTGCCGCTTCTCTTCAACAGATATACTGTGGTTTCACCAGTAACAGCCATGGCACCCACAAAGAAGTCGGTAAGTAGTGATGGCTGTGTTGGTCCTCCCACGTGTGGGTCGCCCAGGTTACCATAGTGGAGATTTTGATCTATATGTTTTTCGGTAATTATATAGGACTAACCCGCTGGTGAAATTGATTGAAAATAATTATAAAAACGCCGAATTTTCATTTTTATATTATAGTGGACTCTCTTTAGTTTGTGGAAATAAGTAAACGGATATTTTTTTTTTAAATAAACGCAACTTAAAATTTATGGTTATGAAAAACAAAGGTAAATTTGCAATGTCACCGTTCACTTTTAGCAAGTAAAAAATATATTTTTCTAGTGTATTTGTGTGTTTAGACCGAATATGACCTTTCTTTTTGGCGGAAATTAACCGGGTTTTTTTGCGATTTTTTTTCGTTTGATGCTTTCCGGAAAAAAGTGGCTAAGCGACTAAAAAATGCACAAAAAAACACTAGGAAAACAAACCTGACCTAACTTAACTTAACCGACTCTCACCATATGATGGAATCCCCTATTTCTTACCTTATTGGTTCTTGTTCGTCGTTGCATTCTGGGATTCTTACCCAACGTCACATATGTTGGTCTTTGCAATATTTACATTGTCTTGCTCTTAGTACACTTTACTGAGGTTGGAAGAACACCATACGATCGAAAAAATGCTATAGTTTCTACGTTTTTTTCTCCTAAAACTCGCAATCAGCTCCATATACTTTAAGTGACACCCATCACAGACTTCCATGGTCGGAACTAAACTTGAATTTCAAAATGAGACCCAAAATAAACTCGATTTTGATTGGGCCAAATACACTGAATTAAACCCAAAATCATGTTAATTGGTTCCAAAAGCAAAACCGCTTTTGATTAGCCGCATGACGTGTATGGGTATGCATGCGGGTAATGATTTATGAAGAAGACGCGAGACACGCAGTGTTGGGTGAGAGGCAGACGATAATGGCGGGAGGTTAATGGAAGAAAATAGAAAATTTTTTGGAAAAGCTATCCTTTATACATTTCCGTCGGTAATGTAATAGACGAAAATTATCTTATAATTAGACGTCTTATTCGAATATGATAATAGATTAGTGGTAGGAATGAACGCAATAATACCAACACAAACTTAACCAAACAAACCTACCTAACAAAAAAAAAGTATATTGAATAAATAATTTACTGTATGGTGAAATTTGAGGCATTTCTGGACGTGAGATATGGCCGCATTGGCGCTATACAGCCCGGCGGGTCAATCCTATAAATTAACCTGTTTTTCCAGTGTATTTTAAATGAATCTGACATTCAGTTTTGGCGGAAATTGCTAGTCTCCCCTTCAACAATAATGTATATATGGTGTTTAAAATGCCCAGAATAGAAAGCTCTAAATGTGTTATAAGTTTATAACTATCGGGGGCGCTATGTCCGAAAGTAAAATAATCCCGATATTTTTTTCGTGACCAGTAATTTCCTGCTAACGCTATTTTACCATGAGTTTGCTTTGTTTGGGATATCACCAAAGAAACCTACCTAACCTTTACTTCCTAGCCCCGTTAGGGGGGGGGGGGGGCAGGGCCGGATTAAGCATAATAGGGGCCTGAGGCACAGATCAACTTGGGGCCCCTTACCCTCAAGGTATATATAAATAAAAAAAAATATATACCGAAATTTATCAATGATTTCATCAATATTAAGCTTCTGCAAAATAACACATTTAATGTTCATAAGAGACAAAATTGAGACGTTGCTAGGACATCGTTGAACGAAGTTCATGTTTTATTCTCTTCAACTTCGAGAATGTTTGGATTTGGGGGCCCCTTAGAGTCAGGGGGCCTGAGGCAAGTGCCTCATGGTTAATCCGGCACTGGGGGGGGGGATTCCATCATGTTAAACAAAGGTCTTGGTCAATCAATGCGCACTCACGGTAAAATAGCATTAATAGGAACCAAGCCAGTCAAGGCAAAATACCATATCCACTATGTAGAAATAGATGCGCAGACGTGATGGTGTGTTAGGTTCTTATATGTAATTCAGTATTGTTATGGTAGTAAATTTGCAGATTACAGCAACCAAAGAATCGCCTAACTTAACCTAACCGCCTGGAATTCTGTGGTTGCTGTTTACTGCAATATTATTTGTTTTAGGGTTACATGGATTTTACAGAAACCTCGGCACTTAGTAATTACTAAATGGAACTGGTTGACTTGGAGATTGGCTTTAAACTTTGTATTATCATTTCGGTCATGCAGTGAATTTTACTATTTTATGTACAGTTTAGTTTTGAATTATGTTCTTCCAATGTGTTTAGACAGATTCTGACCTTCGGAAAATAGGTGCATTAAAGAAACGATGATTTAACCTTTTGTAATTTCTGAGAACAGCATTACCACCAGAAGAGATGGTCCATTTCGGAACATTTTTACCACAGATGTCCGTACCATTATAGTAACTATTTAAAGAGGCTAGAACTTTTTATTTTAATTCTAAATATTTTTTGTTTTGGTAAAATTGCAAATTACAGCAACCGAAGAATCTGAAAAAAAAAGTGCTACCTAACCTTGCACCCAATTCAAGAGATAATCCATACCTATTAGTATATATACCAAGCATTTTAGTTTTATCTATGATTACCAAAATATATTATGTAAATCGTGTAGGTAAGTGCAGTGAAATGTAATGCAGGCTTTAAAATGGTTGCATCTCATTACATATGTATCTTATTCAGTCATAAACATTGCACTTTAAGTACATATTTCACACTGGTTGAGAATAACTTGAAATTTACAGATTTCAGGCTAATGGACATGGAGGAGTGTAGATGGGTTGTGCCCATTCCATCACCACAATTTTTTTTTACCCATTTCGTCACCACTGTTTTTACCCATTTCGTCACCACGTACATTCCCATCACCATTTCAGGGGCAAAACATTCCAGAAAATTCTTACATGATTAATACAGCAATATGTATGAAAATTTCACCAAATTTGCCAAAATAACTTGCTTGGGATAGAAAATAATAAAAACCTAGTTGCTTGTGCTCAGCAACTAGTTGTAATATCAACCATTGAGGCTTCTCTGAAGGGTTATGGTCTAACTCGGACCATCTCTGATTACGAACTCGGACCACTTAGATTAACAATTTCGGACTAAAAAGTAAAAGTTTATAAATTTTTGCATAAATGATAAAAGTGCTATGATAAAAAGCAACATAGATTGTAGGGGAGATTGATTTATTATTTAACTTTTCATTCAATCTTATTGATGTACATATGTGGAAGAGGTGATCTTTTTTCTTTTATATATATTATTTCATATTAATTCACAATTAAGATCACTTTACCTGGAGACCTGACAACGACACCTTCACAAAATTTGACGGTTGAGGTTGACTAGTTCCACAAAAATTTAAATACTGAGTCACTTAATGCACAAAGGCAGAACATACTGTACCGTACAGAAAACTCAGATCAAATAACAACGACCGCAATTGGATAAATAAATATTTAAAGAATATTATTGGCCAAAGGAAGTCTACAGGTTGGAGTATAAATCGTGAAGTTTACCAACGAGATTATTATAAGGTATTGACCAGTGGGGTTAGGACCGAGATAAGAAAAGCAAATGTATCAACAAACACGAGACAAGATTGGACCAATACCGGCGAGCTATCTGATGACGGAGAAATTAGCAATAATCTGAACAGGTATTCTTCAACAGTTTACACCACCGAAATTTTAAACATGATACCCAGACAGATATTGAAGAAAAATAAATTAAGCGAGATAGTAGTAGTGACGATGTTAGTAAGCAAATAGACAAACTAAAGCCTAATGTCACCAGGTCCCGATGAGATATTTGCCAGAGTATTAAAGGAATGTAAGGAAGAGCTTAGTATGCCCCTAGCAAATTTGTTTAACTGATTGAACCCTCGGTATTCACTCTCACACTTAGTATTTCAGTGAACCAAAGACAATACATACCCCAAACTCTTTCCTGAACCTCTAGTCAGCTATTTGGTTGAAGTGTGCAAGGTGGGTCGAGTTAGTAATGTGTGGGCCGAGTTGGTTATTTAAGATGGGCCAAGTTGGAGTACACCCTGTGAAGAAGAGGGACAAGGCGGTACAGTATAGAGCGAGATTGTTCTATGCTGCTCGGTACAATATCAGAACAGCATCTGAAAGCAGTGTCTTGTTCGTTCATGTTAGGAATAATAATCATCCCATTGCTTGGGAAAAAAGCTTAGAAGTATTTAAATCATCTTGTCACAGAAAGACTTCTGGTTGAAGCTAGTTTGATTAAGGAATTAAAATCAATAAACCTTAGTGATGGTCAGTTCAAAACTGATACATAAGAGCATAAACATAAAGTGGGATACTGCAGGAGGCCGACTGGCCCATACAGGGCAGATCCCTTTCACACCCATCCCAGCACTTCCATGTGCCTATCCAACTTCGTCTTGAAGCTCCCTAGCGTCCCCGATCCTACTATAGCACTCGGCAGCCTATTCCACATATCCACAACTCTATTACCAAACCAGTGCTTGCCTATATCCTTTCTGAATCGGAATTTATCTAATTTAAAGCCATTTGTTCTAGTTATTTCGTTATTACTGAGCTTCAAAACATCTTCCATTTTACCCTTGTTAATCCCACTTACCCACTTGTACTCTATCATATCTCCCCTAACTCTACGCCTCTCTAATGAATGTAAGCCTAAGCTTTTCAGTCTTTCTTCATATGGAAGGTTTCTAATATTATGGATCATTTTTGTCATTCTTCTTTGTACTCTCTCCAAAGAATCTATGTCCATTCTATAATAAGGACACCAGAACTGAACCGCATAATCCATGTGTGGCCTCACTAATGCTAGGTAAAGTTTCAAGATAACGTCAGCAGTTCTGTTACTCACAGACCTAGATATGAACCCAAAATCCTGTTTGCCTTGTTGCGAACGCTAATACATTGTTTTCTAGGTTTCAAGTCGTTGCTAACAAATACACCTAGATCTTTTTCACAAACTGAGTTTTCTATTTCCGTGTTACCTAGTTTATACTTGACGTTTGTATTCGTCTTCCCTATCTGTAGTACCTTGCATTTATCAGTATTAAAATTCATTTGCCAGTCTACTGACCACTCATGTAAGGTATCTAGATCTCTTTGAAGGTGTTCAAAGTCAGTCTGAATTTATCACTCTCCCCATTTTGGTATCATCTGCAAATTTACTAATCCTACTAGTTATGCCTAAATCAAGATCATTAATGAATATAACAAACAGCAGAGGGCCTAATACAGATCCCTGGGGAACTCCGCTTTTGACCGCACCCCAGTCTGACTTTAATCCATTTATGCTGACTCTGTTTCCTACCAGTTAACCATGACCTATTCCATTTTAATACTGATCCACCTATTCCATGTGCTTCTACCTTCCTTATCAATCTCTCATGAGGGACTCTATCGAATGCTTTACTGAAATCTAAATAAATTATATCATATGACTTTCTACCGCTTCAAATACTTCTGAGAAAAAGCTAAGCAAATTTGTGAGACAAGAACGTCCCTGGGTGAACCCGTGCTGAGAAGAATGAATTAAGTTGAATGTTTCAAGGTGGCTTCTGATTTTAGCAGCAATAATTGGCTCGAACAACTTGCCTATGATTGGCGTGAGACTAATGGGGCGGTAATTTGATGCTATTGATTTATCACCCTTTTAATCGGAACTACATTTGCAAGTTTCCAAGCTTCCTGGCACTAGGCCTGATTCATGACTTATTAAATAAAACTGCTAATGGATTACTCAACTCATCTCTACATTCTTTTAATATTCTAGCATATACCTCGTCTGGACCAGAAGCGATTTATGAGACTTCAGTTTATTAATTACTTTAAGCACATCGTTACTGTAATATTGATATTCATCAACATATTTTCTATGCATGGTATATACCTTATGAACTTCTGAAACTGCTAGGTTTTTCATTTGGAATCTGTGGAGGCGAAAAATGACTATTTAACGTACTACACATTTCTAACTCATCATCAGTCATTTCTCCTGTCGTAGTTTTAAGGGGACCTATTGTAACATAAATTTATTTGTCAGTGGCCCAAGGTTAAAAATGCTTTGAAAACCTTTGATCTAGATGTATGATAGTTATTTAGTGGGTCCCTTATTTTTGACCTGACCTGACTAGTCACGTCACCCCCCCTTCTCTTAAGCTCCTCTACCTGTGTGTTGGTGTGGAAATTAGTGGATGACATCATTATGACCTGACCTCATGTTTTTAAGGTCACCCTGTATATTTAAGCCTCTCTCTGTCCATGTAATCCAGTTGCCTCTGAAGATGTCTTGAATAAAGACGAAAGCTAAGGTGCTCCGTTGTTTCCCTTTTCCCCTGTGATTTTATCAAGATTTATCTTATCCACGTATTCATTGTGGATCTACATAATATATATATATATATATATATATATATATATATATATATATATATATATATATATATATATATATATATATATATATATATATAATATTTCATGTACAGTGTATAGAGTACTTAAAAGTTTCCCAAGTTCAGTTTTGGGTCGATCCCAACCCTCTGTTATACTACCGGGTGTAGGATATGTAACGGACAAATTGTTTATATAATTGACTTGTATTTTGCCACTTCTATCCGCCACACCATAACATCATTGTGATGTTAGATGGTGCCGTGAAGGGGGCTAGAAAATGTGTCCTTAGGAAGCAGTATTCCAACTGTTGGTATCACTGTGCCGAAACTAGGACGCACAAACATGAATTATGTAGCATGGTGCTATAGAGAATAGCCAGGTAAAATATGGACAATGCTAATTTTATATTGATTTGTCTGCAGAAAAAGGCTATTGAGAGCATAAACTCTCGATTGGCTCTGGTGATGAAATCGGGCAAATACGTGCTTGGTTACCGTCAGACTCTCAAGTGTCTTCGTGCTGGAAAGGCGAAGCTAGTCATCATTGCCAACAATACTCCTTCTCTCAGGTGAGACAAAGAAGTAGACCCTCACATTGTAGCCTCACCATCTTGGTACTTGTGGCATCAGTTGGTACTCACTACCTCCTGATGCTACATCATCAAGATGGAATTTGAACAAGGTATCAGAAAATTAAGAGCTGATCTTAGTTGGAGCTATAAGAGCTAAACTTGCTCTCAGTAATCAGTAATTTCATCCTTGTTCGTGGTGAGCTGCCATTCTCTTACCAGAATTCCTCCTCAAATTAATTTGGGTTGGCATTTTGGGTCGAGATTTTGTCAGTGTGATGGTTTATGGAGTCTCCTGAATACTTCAGTGGGACACAACACCGTAAGTTACTTGTGTATGTTTAAGCATTATTTAGCTCTGCATTTGTTTGGTATATACCCCCAGTTAGTAGGTATGTTTTGTCTTTTCCTTATAGTATACTGTGACTACATATATTTGTACAGCATGTTTGTGCTGTGATATGTCCTTATTTTGAGGTAAGTAACCCCTGATATATATATATATATATATATATATATATATATATATATATATATATATATATATATATATATATATATATATATATATATATATATATATATGCTGAAAACCACAAGGAAAGAAGAAAACACGAAGTTCCCAAGCGCTTTTGTGTAATTCGCATCTTCATTCAGGGGTGAGTACAGACTAAGGAGAAGTACAAAACAAGGTGTATATATACAGAGGAGGGTGAGATCAGGTCCACAATGGTCAGGTATTAGTTCAGTATTTATAGGAAACCTACTAATGTGTGTTCATACATTCATTATTATTCTGCCCACCATAATAGTTAAACAGTCGGTATTTTCATCAATGTTTATACGTGCTTTTGAGAAATTGCAGCCCGGAATTCATTGATGAGGAATATAAATATATCTATATTGGCTTGAACCTTAAGTACCCTAGAGCCTTCATAGACAAATGCCTTAACACTACTAAGAAATCTTTCTATAGAACCAATCCCAAGCCCACCCATGACCATAAGAATCTCTTAGTATTAACATTTCACAAAAATGTCTCCCAAATTCCTGTACAACTAAAAACCTGGTATGTCAATGTGGCATTTAAAAACTCATGCACTGTTAAACAAATGTTAATCAAGAACTCCCCCAACAACACAATTGGTTGCATTCATAAAGTTCCTTGCAAGGAATGTAATATTGTTTTACTTAGGCCAGACAGGTACAGATCTTGTAACTAGACTTAAACAACCTAAATATTGTGTTAGGACAGGCCAGGAATCCAATGCTCTGTTTGTTCATTTGAGGGATAATAAGCATTGCATTGACTGGGATAATGCCTCCTCAATATTACCTTGTAATTCAATTGACAGTAGGAACATTATAGAATCTAGTCTCATTAAACATACTGAAGCAGTCAACATGAATTTGAGTAATGGCATGTACAAACTGGACAATTTTGTAATTAAGAAGATTTGTAACCAGGTGAGAAGGTTACCGTGCTTTTTAAAGATTAGTAGGGTCATTACCTAATACCTGACCATTGTGGACCTGATCTCACCCTCCTCTGTATATATACACCTTGTTTTGTATTTCTCCTTAGTCTGTACTCACCCCTGAAGATGTGAATTAAACTAAAGCGCTTGGGAACTTTGTGTTTTCTTCTTTCCTTGTGGTTATCAGCATATACCTGGATCACACGCACCTACAGTGATTTACTTGCGCATAATATATATATATAATTTTATTTATTTATTTATTTATTTCTGAAATGAATGCAGGTATTTGGGTTTGGTTTTGTATAAAACATTGCACAATTAGGGTGGGAAAAAGGAAAGGGACCTTTATATTAATACAGTACTGAAGTAATATTTTGTCCTTGGCTAAAAAGGACTGAAAACAGTTTCTGACTTTGGGAACAAAATCCAAGCAATCCAGCACATGGAACAACCCCAAAGCAAATATATATATATATATATATATATATATATATATATATATATATATATATATATATATATATATATATATATATATATATATATATATATATATATATATATATATATATATACAGTATATATAAAATAATATTAATACTGTATACATTTCTTTGTACACGAGTTAGCTGGCTTGGTGGGAGGATGGCTGGGCGGTTGGTGGTGGGGGGAGCGTTGCTGTTGCTATGGTGAACAGAGAGTACAGATGTACAGTACTGTATATGCAAATGGCGACTGTTAAACTTTCATTTGGCTTTTATTTATTGGTTTAACAATACAGTATTTTTCGTTGTAATTTATTTATTGGGATCATTTTTATTTATTCGTCACATTTACTGGTACAGTATATATATATTAAGAAAACTATGGCTACAGGAGAAAAATATGCACGTTTTTCTTAAATACTTCATGCTAAAATGGGGGGGGGGGTCTTATATGCTGTAAAATATGGTAGATCGGTGTATATATATATAAATCATGTACTGTATTGTAGTTCATTGTAGAGTGGCAGTCCTTTTATACAGTTTAACCAAAACATTTACAATCTCCATAGGAAATACTTGGAGTGGTTTTACAAGTTCATTCTTTACTTAAGCAGAATTATATTGTATGTCAAAATCTTTTTCTCAAAAGATGTCAAGAAATGAAATGACTGCCCTCTACTTTACCTTATAAGAAGAAATCCATAAAGGTTTAGAAATCTAGCAGAGATAAATTGTACATAGAGTAGGTACTTAAAATTTCCCAAGTTCAGTTTTGGGTCGATCCCAACCCTTTCTTATACTACTGGGTGTAGGATATGTAACTGACATTGTTTATATAATTGACTTGTATTTTGCCACTTCTATCCGCCACACCATAACATCATTGTGATGTTAGATGGTGCCGTGAAGGGGGCTAGAAAATGTGTCCTTAGGAAGCAGTATTCCAACTGTTGGTATCACTGTGCCGAAACTAGGACGCACAAATCATGAATTATGTAGCATGGTGCTATAGAGAATAGCCAGGTAAAATATTTTACAGTTTGGGGGCTTTCACCGAGCTTCCCCGTAGTGGATTTAAGCAATCACAGTATTGGGTTTTTAAATATTAGGTGATCCTATTTTTTAGATTTAAGAACTTTTGAGAGATCACTTATGGAATCTTTTAATCAGTTGAAGAAAAAAAATATATATATAGAGTATATATAATTTTTTTTAAATTGCAGAAAGTCTGAGATTGAGTACTATGCGATGTTGGCCAAAACTGGTGTCCATCATTACTCTGGAAACAATATTGAACTGGGAACTGCATGTGGTAAATACTTCAGAGTATGTACCCTTGCTATTACTGACCCTGGTGACTCTGACATCATCCGTACCATGCCAACAGAATAGAAAAGGTAAGAATTCTTTTGATGTGTAGGTTAGTTCTGAAATGTGTATAAAGGAGAATTAATTTTTGTGATAATGTTCGTGGTTGTCACTACTTTCTTGGCAGCGGACTGGGAAGGATGAAATTTTAGTATTAATAATTATTTAAAATCACACGCTACTAGTAAAGTTTTCCCACGTTGTGCAAGAAAATTAGTGATCTTGTTCGTCAGTTAGGATGCACAACAGGCATTTGGCCACACTCAAATGACTTGTAGACTAACCTTGTTAAACATTCATTTTATGATTAGGAACGTGTGAATTATTTTAATTGTAGAATAATTAGAGTAAAATGTTATTTTTGTTCATTTTAAAATCATTAATCCTGTTCATTTTCTTTCAGGGAGTTGACTGGATCTCCCATTTTATAAAAATAAATAAAATGATGATCTGTTTTTAGTATTTTTCTAGCCTACTCATAAATGGGGACAATTTTCTTTACTTAATCTTACGTTACACAAAGTATTTGCCTATTTGAATGTCTTGTACAAAATTCTATTTGAACTTATATTTCCAAATGATTTCTTCTTGTAATAGAATTATACTGTATTCGAGTATTTAAGATGGAATTTGATCACTACATACTGTATACAGTATAGGAAGTATGAGACTTCTAGAAAGTGTGTATATAGATGGCTATCACAGTACATGGGTAATGTAATTGTTGGTAAATACAACAATTGACATCTTAAAATTTTTGGAGTTGACCTGCTGTCGTGGATTATCCTTGACGCTTGGGTCATGCAGCTCATTGTGTTGGTGTTAGCTTCAACAACTTGAAACTCCTATCCAAGTAGCTTGTCCAGGTAATATTGAACACAGGGGGCGTCTTAAGTAAATAAAGTGTTTTGTACTTTTGAGAGATCAGAAGTGTGCACTGCAGATTGATGTACACATTGAAACCTTTCAGCTAATTTGATTATATGTTTAAAAACATGTCTGATGTATAATCTCTCCCCAATCAGTCTTCCATGGGTTGAAGTAGATCATTAATTTACTTGAACCCATAAGATGTAAAGAATGCTAAATATTTAAGAAAAGGATACTGTACAGTATCGATACACTCGAGGCTGAGTAAGCTTATTCAAGACCAGACTTGACAACACTGGTGCAGGTTCAGTAGCTAAAAAAAATTATCTGCATACACTGAAATAATGAGACAACGGACGATGTGTGTTGTCTTCTAGTATGTGTTAGTAATCATTTAAGCGTTTATTTTATTCATGTATGCCAACTTGCCCCCCTGTTACATACTGAATGGTGGTGGGTGAAGACAGGCATACCAACCCTCCCGAGACCATGAGTTGTATGTATAATTCCAGAAGTCATCGGACCCACCCTGTCGGATTTTTTTTAGCTACTGTACATGTCAAGTGAACTATTGGCTATCACTCCTGCCAAGGATTCATTCCTTATACAGTGGTCCCTCGGTTAACGAACACAATTCGTTCCAGAAGGTCTTTCGTTAACAGAATCCATTGTTTCAATGGGATATTGGGTAATTGGTTCCAGCTCACAGAAAAGTACATACAAAGTAAAAATAAAATGCAGTAAAGTACACTTACTTTGAGGTGTGTATGTGAAGGTGCCTGGTTGTTGATGATGGGAGAAGGAAGTAGGGATGGAGGAGAAATCACCTTTCAGGGAAACATGCTTGATGCAGTCATTTCACCAATACAATTTTAAGTTCACAAGGTGTAATTCAAGAATATTTTCTTTAAATCAACATTGCCCTGCGCTATATAATTATTATCAATATGTTAACTAAAGTTCAGAATGACCAATAATTTCAATGAAAATTGCAAAAATATTCAGACACCAACAAAATAGATGCTCGCCACTGTTTTCATTCTCAACTGACGCCTTGTGACTGACTCACGCATCTGATGGGCGCACAACAAACTAGTTCCCTGTACTGCATATATCAATATGTTAAATGAAATAATAATTTTAATATAAAACATGCAAAAATATTAAAGAGCACAACTTTATTGATAATTATTCCATTGGAAATGGATGTAAACATAGAACAGATTACTGAATTGGCAGAGTAGCCCATCAGCTGATGCTCACAACAAAACGTTATTTTCGTAAGGATTTCGTTAGTCAAATTTTTGTTCGTTAACCGAATTGAAGATTCTTATGGAAGGAAATTCATTAACCGAGGGACCACTGTACAGTATACAGCATGTGAAACGTAAGCCAACATCACCAAGTACAGTAACTTCTTGAGCTGAAGGAGATATTCAGGGTCAGTTCTAGGAAACAGCTAACTAATCAAAAACTCCCAAAACCTTAAGGTAGATGTAAGTTTATTCTTGTAATATTCACTCTTCAGCAACCATGTCATTTATTGTACTTAATGTGTACATGTGTATACAGTGGTTAAAAGACGGAGGACCAGCCGTACTGACGTCATTTGCAACACAGCTTCCTTGTACTCGAGGTACTCCTCCTCAACCACGTGGAAGGAGGCCATGAGAGTACAATTAGGCAGCATGAAAAAACTCGATGGCTGATTGAAACTTTTGGAAAGCGCAGCAAGAACCCATCCAGCCACTTCAGAGTGGGATGGCTGTTCTGAGATTTTTCACCTAATTATTAAAAAAAAAGTCTCCCTATGTGCTACTAAAAGTTTTGGTCCACACACTCGTGCAAACATGCTGCATAATTGAGTTTATAACATTTACCATGCAGCATAAAGAGGTTAGAGGCCTTTGTGTTATGGGAGAATGTTAAAAGTTAAGACTGGAAAGCAAATGAAGTAGCACTAAGGTTAGCAAAAACTTCAAGAGAATTACTTGAAGTTTACCAAGAAATTTGGTCACGATCAGGGATAATAAATATTAATGGACAAGGTTGATGGTTGGGGGAAGCCAGAGATTGGGTTGGATGAATGAAATTAAAAAACAAAAACAATTCTCCACAGAGTAATGCAAAATTTTTGATTGATAAAAACAGCTCGAGAACGTTTAGACTTTAGAGTGAGGACTGTGGCTGCCAAACCCCAGATATGAGAATGGCACTGGTTGAATAGGATCCTTGCAAACTGTGTGAAGTGACCGATCACCTAGGCAGCTAACGAGCAGAGCAGTGGCGAAGAACGTAAAAGTAATTAATAATTTCACTATTTATCAGCTTACTGGTCGTTGGTCCCATCTTTTATTACTTTGATTTTTGTTGTCCAGTTTTAGTACAGAAGGAACTGGTAGTCATTTCCTAACCTAACTGTACCTAATAATTATGACCTTACCTAAGTTAGCATATAATCTAAAATAACCAAACCAATGTACAGTACTAGGCTTCCTTAATAATCCTGGAATCCATTATTCTTATTTTTTTAGCAAATATTTTATAACGTAATATTGTCAAAATTTACTATAGTTCCATTATGTGAACTTTTTAAAATTTCTATAGCCAATATTAATTTCTTTCATATAAGTCTGTTCTATATTAACTACAGTGTGATAATTTTATACCTATAGTAAATAATAATTTATTTTTATTAATATTATTATTGCCACCAACCGAATTTCGAGAATTTTATCTTCACAATCAATAGTTCCGACGATTCTATAAACACTGTCTTCCGTTCCCCTCGCCAGTGGCCTAATTATTAGTATTATTATCAATTTAATTAAGGAGACTTGTGAATCTTTAACTTCGACAGTTTATTTCTTATAAGCTCGTCCGAGAATACAATGTGGGTCAGCTCTGTGTCAAACTGTCTGTCCTCAAACGCAGGAAAATTGTTCGCATCCTCTCGTGAACACCGATGAAATTTTCTTTTTCAACGCCTCTGCCTTACCCCTGCATAACTACCATCTTCAAGCCTCAGGTCCAATGTGCCGACTCGCATTTTTAATTTTGACTTTGAGTGGCGGTAAATAGCCTTTGGGTTTGACTTTTACCTTAATTGCAATCTGCCTCAAACTCCTTTTCAGTCTTTCTACACTCTGATTTTGCTTTGGTTCTTTGATCTGGCAAACATCCTCCTGTCTTGCTCATCGTTTGTCCTTACCCATGTCTCGAAATCCTGAGTTTTCTTCTAAACTTTGCCGACGGCCGCATTGTTCATGTGTAGCAGTTTCCTTGTATTCCTGGAGGCACTGGGTTTGGTCTTGGGTATATATTTATCGATCGAATGGTTAACTTTACTGGCTATGATATTCAGCATAGCATCTGCGTTCTTATTTCTACATAAGTCAAGCCAGTGTATACTCATCTCCTCCCTCATCCCGTCGTAATTTCCTTTGTAATATTTGAACCTGAACCTGGTTTTGTCACGAACCAAGTAACAGTTTAATCTGAAGTACAGCGTTATGTGGTGACTGGTGCCAACTAGGACTAGGTGTTCCAGATTTGCCACCATACCCTGCTACTTAGTTATGGTGAGGTCCAGCGGTTTGAGTGTTTGCTCCCCTCTGTAGTGAGTTGGGATAGAAAATTGTCTCTCAGAGTTTCTACAAAAAGAGTGGCTGAATTATTTAGGTCGTTTGGCGTGAATTCATTTCTTCAGTCGATGTAGCTATAGTTAAAGTCCCCCATGATAAGGAGGTGGCTAGGTTTGAGCATCGCTGCATTGTCTATTAAGGCTCTTAAGCAGTGGCGTACTAAGGGGGGGGGGGGTCTTCCCCGGGTGACAGCCAGAATGGGGTGCCATGAGGCAGGACTAAAGCTCAAAAGAACTGTTGATCATGGTAATCAAGCTGCAATGGACAGAGAGGAAGAAATGGAGGGACATACTTCATTGTCTTTTGGATGTGACTGTTTCTAGCTCGACAGAACCTTCCTTTTCGTGGTCATAGGGAGGATATGTTATCAATAAACAAAGGCAATTTCCTGGAACTGGTGGAGTTACTATCAAACTATGATCCTGTTTTGAAAGAACTTCTTTTGGAGGTTAAGCATGCTATTCCATCTCAGACATCTGGAAGGAGAGTGAGCTCTAATTTGTCACCAAATATTCAGAATGAATTCATCTGTCTTCTAGGAAATAATGTTAAGGAAAAAATATTGGCTGACATCAAGAAAGTCAAGTATTTTGGAATTCTTTTTGACAGTACACCTGATATTTCTCATACAGATCAGATGTCCGAAGTGATTGGATATGTTCATATTGAAGGTGATTCTGTTGAAGTAAGGGAATCTTTCTTGGGTTTCTTTCCTATTGCTGGAAAAACTGCAAATGTGCTCACAAAGGGTATCCTAAGTAATTTGGAGAGTGATGGACTGGACATTAACTTTTGCTGCAGTCAAGGATATGATAATGCTGCAACTATGGCTGGTATTCATGGAGGTGTTCAGAAGAAAATCAAAGAAATAAATCCAAAGGTTTTGTTTGTACCTTGTGCCAATCATTCCTTGAACCTTTGTGGGGTACACTCTTTTGGAA